CTTGGCTTTGTGGGCCTTAGAATCCTATGCGTTGCTAGCGGCCTGGCCTTCGTTGCCTTCTGAGAAAGCAGGACTTACATCACCCCGCAGCTTTGGGGTGACATGGCCTTAACCCCAAGTTAACAGGGTAGGGCAGGCCACCCCTCCTCTGGGCACACCATGGCGGCTGTCACGGAGCTGAGGCCCTCTCATGCTGAGGCCCATGATTTGCTCCCTCGGCTGGGCCAAGCAAACAGAATGCCCTGCTTTCCAGATTGAGGAGCGCAGCCTGCAGGAGGCAGGGCTGCCAGGCTGGGTTCTTCCAGCACCCCCCTCCCAGCCCCCATCCCTCCCCTCCCTTGCTGCCTCGCTTAAATTCCTGTTGAGTCCAGGTTCTAAGGGAAACAGCCATGATGTAGGAGGATAGCACACAAGATAGTTGACAGATTTAAAGCTCCAGAGACTTCCAAGCCAGGAAAGATAAGTTCCTGGGGAGCGGAGCAGTGGGCCCAGGAAACACCAGCGAACAGCTGCCCCTTAGCCTGGCTGGGCCTGAGGACTAGTGTCTCTGGAGGAGCCTGGCCCGAAGTCCTCCTGAGACCAGCATAGCCAGTTTCCACAGCACAGATCTTACTGTGAAGCCAGGGTCCCTCAAAGTGGCTTCCCCTGTCGGAGAATTTGCCCATGTACCTCTGGAGGGGGCACTTCAGGAGGATTTGAAAGTGGGGCACACCCTCGCTGTGTGTCAGTGGGGGAGGGAGTACAGGAGGGTCTGTCCTCAGGAGTCTTTGCTCACCTCACCAGTGAGCCTGTGGCAGCTCCGCGTTTCCAGGCCTGTCACCTCACGTGGCTTTTTTTGCATCCGCCAGCTCTGGTGGCGTTAAAGGATGCTCAGGAAGGGAAGCAGCCTTGCTACCACCCCCCTGCCCGCAGCATCTTTTCCCTCTCTCTTCCCGTCTGCTCCCATCCTTCTGTCTGCCTACATTTTGGAGCAGTTCCTGTGCCATTTGCTTGCGTTGAATCTTGAGTGGGGTGGGTGGGGTCGGGCTGAGCCCACTCATTGTCTGTGTTGCAGCTGCTCCCAGCAAACTGTTGTCTAGACCAAGCCTGTGCGTGGGCGCCTAGGCAGTATCTCTTCAGATATGATGAGGTCCTTGCAGTGTTCTCCAGGGAACCGGGAAAAGAGGGGAGGCTTAGTGCTCCAGGGAAGAAGGAGGCTAGGCCAGAATGGCATGAAACAGCTTATCCCCGAGGGCAGGGGCAGCTTCAGCACAGGGCTGCTGACTTGGTAAGACCATTACCAACTGGGGAAGGGCCTCCCGCCACTTATGGAGCATCTGTTGGGCCAGGCATTTGGGGTGCTGTGTCTTTTTTTTTTTTTCTTGTGGAATTTTTAGTCTGGTGGTGAGAGAAAAACATTAAGCATATAAGCACACAATTAAATACATAATCACAAAACACAGGAAGTGCTATGAATGAATATGTGAAAATTGCAGGATACCAAATGAGACTATGTGGGACCCACTGATGGTGGGAACATCAAGGAAGGCTTCTCTGAAAAAGGTGGTATTTAAATTGAGAAGGATGCATAGAAGTGGCTCAGTGGACTGAGTGCTGGCCTGCAAACCGAAAGGTCGCTGGTCTGATTTCCGGTCAGGGCACATGGCTGGGTTGTGGGCCAGGTCCCCAGGAAGAGGCGTGTGAGAGGCAATTGATTGGTGTATTTCTCGCAAATTGATGTTTCTCTACCTCTCTTCCTCCCTCCCTCCCCCTCTCTCTTAAAACGTAAATAAATAAAATCTTAAAAAGAAAAAAAAGAAGTTAGCCAGACAAAGAGCAGGAACACTGTCCCAGAGATACTAGTGCCCAGCGTTTAAGTCTAGAAGCAGTTTTATTTTCCCCTGCTTTTGTCTGAATGCCTTTGAATCTGCTTCCAGCATGAGCTTTGGCAGAAGTCATGGCTAAACCTAACCATGACTTTTACTCCATCTGGGGACTGTCAGGGCCTACTGAGTTACATGGTCCCAGCTTCTCTTTGATTGAAATCATGGATCTGTTCCTCAGTGTCCCAGCTCTGAAAACAAATCGGGGCTCGATGGGAAGCAAGCCTGGTAGACCGGAGTAGGAGTACATCAGGCCATCTCTCCCACTTCCCAGTTCACTGCATGGAGTCAGTCTCCTGGGAATTAGAATAAGGGCCAGAATAGCAGCATGTGAAGATTGAAATAAACCTAACTAGTGAATCCACACCTGTTCTCAGCAGAGAGACAGCCTTCCAGGAATAACAACAAAACAAACTGGAGGAAAAGAGAACTATTTACTCACATAAACATTTAACCACTTTTTAAATTTTAAACAATAAAAAGATTAGGAAAAACTACATCCTATGTCAGTTCTATCCTTAAAATGTAAACAGTTTCTAGAAACCAATAAGACTAATACACAGCAGTAAAAAATAGAAAAAACTATGAAGTGGAAATTCATAAAAAAATAATACAACTAGTAAGCATGTGAAATAAGTTCAACTTCGTGAATAATTAAGGAATTACTAATTTAAACAATGACATACTTTTTGTTGCCAATCAAGTTGACAGTCTTTAAAAATAAGGACATAGTTCTGGTGCAGGTCCTGGACTTACTCGCCCACACCGCAGGTGGGACATAAATTGGCACAGCCTCCCCGAGAGCAGCCCGGCAGTGTGGGCGAGACACCTCTAAAAGTGTGCTCCACATTTGACCCTGCAATTCCGCTTCCTAGAGTTTATCTTGAGTCAGAGAGACAAGTATGCCAAGATGTAGGTGCATGACTGTTAATAAAAATATTTTAAAATGGAAAGACTCTAGATGGCCAAGAATACAGATGTGGTCTGATAAATCATGATATATTCTCACCAAGGAGACCGTGTAGCTATTCCAAGTGATGCTACAGAAGAATATTGTCAGGTAGGGATGTTCTGTTTTATTTTGTTTACAGCTTTCCTGAAATATAGTTAACATACCATAAAATTCACCCTCATAATGTATTTCAGGTGGGAGGGGAAAAAATCTCACAAAATGATGTCAAAGAGTGGTCCAAATTTTTGTAATAATGGAAACTGTAAGCACACACAACACACAGGAAAGTCTACTTGAACACTGACAGCGATTACATCTGGGCAGTGAGATCTCGGGTACCTTATTTTCTTATTTTTGCATATCTGTATATTCTTAATTTTTTAAATTGATTTGAGAGAAAGAAGAAGAGAGGAAGAGAGATGATTTGTTGTTCCACTTATTTATGCATTCATTGGTTGCCTCTTACATGTGCCCTGCTGGGGGATAGAACCCACAAGTTTTGTGTATTGGGACGATGCTCTAACCAACTGAGTTACCCGGCCAGGGCTGCATATCTCTATTTTCTCATGTTTCTGTGAATGCCGATTACTTTTGTATGAAGAAAAAAAATTATAGAAGTTTAGGGCTCAGTGTTCAACCCCTAAAGATTTCACTCGGGACTCGGCCATCAGGTCCCCTAGATATGGCCCTTGCCCCTTCTCCGGGTTACCTCTCTCTGCTCTCTGCTTCACATTTTTACACTCCAGCAACCCAAACTGCTTGGAGTTGGCTGCTTGCTTGCCATCTCTTACTTTGTATGTTTGCTCACCAGGTCCCTCTGCCTGGCGCCTTGCTTGGCCCACTCCAGTGTCACCACCTCTGGGAAGTTTCCCCTGAGCCTTCTCTCCCACACCAGGCCAGGGCCTCCCCTCGGGATCGGGCAGCTGGCCTTCCCTGGGCATCCCTGTGACCCTCGGCCCCTCTATGGAACTCATCTGTGTACACCTGCTTCCTCGCCCCATCTAGGGTGGTAACTGTAGAGAGCTGGAAGGAGGGCTTTTTTTTTTTTCTTAATTCATGCCTACTGGTTAATGTCTCCTAGAATCTGGCTCCAGTGTCAACCTTTAATTTTTTTTTTTAAGATTTTATTTATTTTATTTTTAGAGGGGAAGGGAGGGAGAAGGAGAGGGAAACCTCAATTTGCTAGAGATCTATCCATTGATTGCCCCTCACATGCCCCTTTCTGGGGACCTGGCCCGCAACACAGGCATGTGCCCTGACCGGGAGTTGAACCAGTGACCTCTTGGTTCACAGGCTGGTGCTTAGTCCACTGAGCCACACCAGCCAGGGCTTGACCTTTCATTTTAACCCTGGAAGAGATCAAAGGGATTGCAGTTTCCATTAGTGTCCTTTAATTGGCTCCTAAATGCACGGTATATTTTTTTTCTTAAATTAAAGAAAGTGTTGAAAATAGGAGTAAAGGAGGAGAAAGCTAACTCCCATTGACACCTTTGGAGTGTTCTTGCACCTGAGAGGACCTAAGAGTCAAGGAGGCTTGGAGAGAGGAGGCGATCCTCAGGGCAGTAAACCACACACTTCACGGGTGTAAGAATCCCTCAGGCCTCATGCCCATCATGCCACTTCCTGGGGCCCACACTCCACCGCACCTCAGAGATCAGAGCATCGGGGGCAGGGTGGGACCCAGGAATCAGTACCTCAGGCCACTTGGCTGTAGGTATTTGAGGGGAAAGCCTCACTTTGGTTCACAGGCCAGCACTCAATCCACTGAACTACACCAGCCAGGGCTGAAAGCCTCACTTTGGGAATAGTCAACTCCAGGCCAGCTCTCCTCTCTGTGGCAGTCTCTTTAGGGACCCAGGTTATGTCTGCACAAAGCCCAGGGTCCTCCTCTCCGCATTTGACCAGCCCCTTTGAGGCAAGCTGGCTGCCCACCTCAGTAGCCTGTACTTGCTACCTTGAAGTACAGTCACTTTGAGTCCCTAATTAATCCCAAGTAAAGGAGCCCAGGTTCTTTGTCGCAAGGAACCTTCAGTGCTCCTCCAGGAGGGGGAGGAGGTGGCGACGGCAGCAGGAACAGCAGCAGCAGCTGTGTGACACGTTCCCAAGTCAGAGGCTAGGAGGCTGGGTTAGCTTAAGGAAACTCGCTGACTTGCTCAGTGAGAGGGGCTTGTTTCTGTCTTGTCTAGAGCTGAGAATGAAGCGGAGAGCATCAGACAGAGGAGCTGGGGAAACGTCGGCCAGGGCCAAGGCTCTAGGAAGTGGGATTTCCGGAAATAATGCGAAGAGAGCTGGACCTTTCATCCTGGGTAAGCCTCTCCCCGCTGGTGACTGGGAGTGCGGGGGGCAGGGGCCGGGTGCAGTGGCATCCTCGGTCTGGCCCAGCTTCACCACCACAACTATGGTCTGTTTATTATGCCGGTGGGAGATCCGGAGCCTTAGGTCACCCTGTCCCAAGAGTCGTCACTTCTGTTGTTGCCGCACCAGCCTTAGATCAGTCTCAGCTGAAAGCTAGACTATCTCATCCCCGAGAATGCCACCCACGGGAAGCTTATAAGCTGCATTAGATTCCAAGGGCCATCATCCAGGGCACTTTTTGGACCACTCTTGGAGGGCACGGTTAATTTCACGAAGCGTTTGATATAGCCCCTGAACTCCTTATAAGGTTGACACAGAAGTCCTATAGGATTGGGTGTTCCCAGTGGTCCAGAGGAGCAGCAGGGCCTTTCTGCACGATATTAGAGGCCCAAGCAAGTCCGGGTTTTATGCTCAGTGTTGCGGGTTGGGTGGGCTCTGAGGACCCCAGCTCCCCTAGCAGTGAGAGACCAGGTGTGAGTTTTGCTCGGGGAACAGCATGTGGACTTAGGGGCACAGGGTGCTTCCAGCTCCAGTCATTCAGCAAGTAGTTAACGGTGCCCACGCTGTGCCAGACAGGTGCTGTCTGCCAGGGGTACAGCAGCACAGGAGACAGTCAAGTTCCTGCCCTCACAGAACTTAGCATTCTAGTTGCAAAGAGAAACAGAGTAAAGAACACACAAGATCATCACTGGGGGCAGTACGTACATTTAAGTAAGCAAACAAGGGGAGGTGAGCATAAGAAGGGCCTAGGGATGGTATAGATGAGGAAGGTTCTGTGTGAGGAGCTGACGTTTGAGCTGACACCCAGGGATGAGAAGGAGCCAGCCTGGTGAAAAGCAGGGGGAAAACATTCTAGGCAGAAGGAACAGCTAACTCCAAAGCCCAGAGGCAGGAAAGGGTTTCATGTCTTAGGAATTAAGAAGCCAGTGCAACTGGAGTATGGTGAGTGGGGTGGGGAAGCAACCAGTTAGAAAGATGGGTGAGAATCAAGTCATGCAAGACTGGGGAGGTCAGAAACGGAGTTTTGATTGCATATTAAGCGCCACTGAGCACTGTTATAGGGTTTTTAGCAGGACAGTGACATGGTAATATTATCCTATTTATGTTGTGAAAGCTCAGGCAGGGTTTTGTCACAGGACAGCAAGCACTGTACATCCCCAGAAAAACAGAAGTTCCCAAAAGCTGGGACCTGGACCGGGGTCAGGTGGCTGGATCGGACTCCAGGGGAACCTGTAAGAGCTGCAGTTTCCTGGACTCTCACCCTGGAGTTGCAGATTCAGAGGAGCAGGTTGCAGCTAGAGCTCTTTTATTAACACAGGCTCCTCAGAGAGTCCAGCTTGCACCCACTATTGAAAAACTCCTCTTTTTGAGAAATGTGCCTAAAAGCCAGGTGTACCACAGGCATATGCACATATACCCTCCATTTTCGGTGAGGAGAAGGACTTTGCGGAGTGAGCTCAGTAGGGAGGAACTGTGGGGCCCAGCTGAAGAGAAGAACTAGCCAAAGACCATGTGGTGCCATGGGGCCATGACAGAGCTTCTGCGCAGTAAGCCAGCTGCTCCCTCTGCCGCAGGTCCCCGTCTGGGCAACTCACCGGTGCCAAGCATTGTGCAGTGTTTGGCGAGGAAAGATGGTACAGATGACTTCTATCAGCTGAAGGTACGTGAGGCGTGGCGGGGCAGGGTGCTGGGGACTCGGGGGCCATCCTGCCACCCTGGCTCCCTTTTCTTCACCTTCGCACCTACACCGCTTGTGAGCAAGAGTGGCACCATTTCTTCCTGAGAAGCAATCAAGTTCACAGCCTCTCTCTGAACAACTCTTGATATAATGAGCTTTTTCTGTGCATAAATTACATTGCCGTCACGTTGAGAGAAGCCGTTCACTCCATAGGTGTGTGTGAGTGTGTGCGCGAGTGTTGCACAGTAGTACGTGATCTGCTTTTCCTGTTCTGGTCATTCTGCTTTGTAAAGTAAGGTTTTTTTGGGTTGTTGTCTTTTGTGTGTGTGTGCCTTCCTAAAGATCCTTACCCTTGAGGAGAGGGGGGACCAAGGAATAGAAAGCCAAGAGGAGAGGCAAGGCAAGATGCTGTTACACACCGAGTACTCTCTGCTTTCCCTTCTCCACACGCAGGATGGCGTGGTTCACCACCACGGGCTCTTCCAGGTGAGTGGCTGCCTGTCCCCTCCTCTCCCTGTCCTCCCACCCCGGGCTGGCACTTGCTGGGGCCACGTCTGTACTTGGAGCAGCTCACTCTTGCAACTCCCGTGTGCTGGGTGTGTCAGGACTTCCTGGGCGAGGGGGCGGGGGCACCTGGATGTCAGCCTGGGCCAGCCCTGCGCGTCTCCTGCTGTGACGATCACAGCCCAGCAGCAAGGCTCACAGTTCGCATCTTACAGCCTTCCTTTGTAAAGCTGCCTTTCTGAGGAAAGAGGAAAGCAGAAAGTCATTTAAAGACCTCGGGCTCTTTCTACTGTGTTGTCAGGAATTGGCCAGGCCAGGATGGAAGGGGGGGCCATGGGGAAGAACGGGCACTGGGAGCCACCTCAGTTGTTCTGGGACCAACAGTCCTTCTGCCAGCCCAGGCATTCCAGGGTGTTCAACAAGTGTCCCTGGAACCCCATGCTCTGATGCTCCAGGTCCCTTACGAAAGGTACTAATTAGCAACTTGTACCCGAAAAGAGTCTTCCTGGGGGCGGAACTGAAACTGTGTCTCCAGAAATGAAGACTGGATCCAGATGCCCAGCAGGCCCCTGCTCAGGACGCAGCGGAGCCGCTGCGGCGCCCTCAGCCAGATGCACTGGCTGGGGCCTCCCTTGCTTGGAGGGACCGACACGAAAGGCAGCATGGTGCCAGGGGGTGCGCCCAGGTGTCGCAGCCAGCAGTCCTGGTTTCAGGGGCTGTGACCCCTGGCAAGTCACTCAGGTCCCCAAGCCTCAGATTCCTCTTGCTCGGGGGATAGGAAGATGAGCGTGTACAAAGCACCAGGCTGCCCCTTTGGCACCCTCATCATGGTGGTTATTTCAGGCAATAAAAACTCCTTATAAGCTTGATTTCGTAAAGTAAAATGAATCAAGATGCCTCCCACCCCAAAACATACACCCCACCAAGGTCTTTATTCTGAGGGGTGCAATCACAAGCAACTCAGTATCATTAGGCAGTGCTGAAAATCAGTGTTTCCCTTAAACATGAAGTCAGACTGAGGATGACTGGGATTTCTTAGTATTTTCTTTCTGCTAACTTTCAAGGCTTCATCTTGGCCTATCCCATTTTGGATGAGAGAACCTGGGTGATTAGTATTTCTAGAGTCATCTGTGTGCCAGACTCTGCGTTAGCCCTCTGGGGAGGAGAGAATAAGAGGGATGGACGTTCAGTCCCCAGATGCTCCCCAGAGGTTGGGGGTGACACCAAGGGCCACAGGCTGGTGGGAGACAAGTCCCTGTGTTGTACCTATTTTTTGTCTTACTTAAAATACCTTTCCAGCGAGGAATGGGTCCGGAACTTGCAACTGCAGTGTTGGTAGCAGTGCCCACCCAACAAGCCCTGGCTGGGGCAGGACGAGCACTCGGCCTGGGCTGTCCTATTCTCCATAACCTGGGCGGCAGGGTTACCGGCTCCCACTTGCTGATGTGGAGCTGGGACCTGAGCCCGCCGTCAGGGGCCAGAGCCATACTCTCAACCGCCGTTACGTGGCTACCTAAGAGTCCCACGTCCACATGAAAGCGGTTGTCTCGGACACACAGTACACTTCCCATCCACCATCTTGGACATTGGAAGGAAGTGCACAGTGGTCATTGCTGGAATCCTGGAGAGCCACGGGCAGGAGGATGTCCAGTGCCCTGGGGTTACAGCCTGTACACTGGGCTCAGGGGGCCCTTCAGCTTTAAATGCCCAGCCCTGATCCAAACCCTGTGCATTGGGATCAAAGCGTGAAGCCTTTACCTGAGCTGCCATAGCCTCGTCCCCTGCTGGGCCTGGCGCTGGTATGTGGGAAGCCAGGCCCAGCTGTGCGGCCCGCGGCCTGTGCTGCCCCAGCCGCAGGCCCCCGCCGCCCGCGCACGCAGGCTTCTTCCAGGCCCCTCGCTGCTTTGTGTGTCCAGCTCCAGAGGAGAGTTCTGGCGTGCTGGCCCCAGCTCCCTCTGCCCCCCTGCCCCCAGGACCGTACCTGCGAAATCGCTGAAGACACAGAATCCAGCCGAATGGTTAAGAAGATGAAGAAGCGCATCTGCCTCGTCCTGGACTGCCTCTGTGCACACGACTTTAGTGACAAGACCGCTGACCTGATCAACCTGCAGCACTACGTCATCAAGGAGAAGAGGCTCAGCGAGCGGGAGACCGTGGTCATCTTCTACGACGTGGTGCGCGTGGTGGAAGCCCTGCACCAGGTGAGGCTCTGCCCCTCGGCTGGCCCTCCTCTGGCCCAAGGGGAGGCCACCGAAGGCCGCCCTTCTTGCTGCTGCCGAGTGGAAGCAGCTCTGTCCCGCCCTCACCCTGCCAGAAGTGCGCAGAAGGCAAGCGGCTGGATGACGTGTACGCCTGTTGAGGCACAGTGCCGCGGGCCGCAGCCCACCTTCCTGGGGTGGGGGTGCCCGGACAGGCAGCCGAGCAGAACCCAGAGCAGGGATTCCCTGGCGGCGGTCACAGCCTATCTCTGCGCTTTTCCCAGGATTGGGGGTGTCGGGTACCCCAAAGTCCGGGTTAGCAGAGTCAGGAGAGCCTCTTGCAAGCATGCTTCTGTGGGCCAAGCCTTCAGATTCGGTTACCAGAGGCATGCGAGTTCATATCCGACCCCAGATCCAGGCAGATGCTTGGTTTTCCGTTTTTGTAAGATGTTTTTCAGTAAGATGTTTGATAGAGGTGGGGAGAGGACTGGGTTTCCCCACTGGTTGCTGCCCTGAGGGGAGAAAGAACAGGAAAGCCACACTGGGTGGGACAGAGCTCGCCTGGGCTCACATATTACCCTATTTGTATACATGGCTGATGAGGCCTTACAGTGGTCCTGCTCTGTCTGTGGCTTACAGATCAAGGCAGGAGCCTACAAAGACATGTCCCAGAGCTTTTTCCTGCCTTACCGACTGGGCCCGACTCCAGCCCTCATTCACCTTCACAGTACAAACCACGTGTTTTGTTGTCTTCCAGAAAAACATTGTGCACAGAGACCTGAAGCTTGGGAACATGGTGCTCAATAAGAGGTGAGCTCTGCCTTTCTTCTTTCAAGAGGTGACCTTGGGGTTAGAACAGGCTCATGCTGCAGCTGCCAGTTACCCCGTGCCCGGCAGTGTTCCCACGGGGACACTGACTCAGAACAGCCCACTTTCTCCAGGGCTTCGCAGGGTGGGGACGGGATGTCTGCTTCTGTCTTTTGCCTCATGGAATAGGATGCTCGCTAGGGAGGAGAGTCTAGAAGGCCACAGAGAGAGCTCTGGGAAGAACTTCAGAGATCCTCCCTGGTCCATTTATTGGTCGTGCCTAGTGCGTGCTTAGTAAGTGACTATAAAAATGGACAAATAGGTGAAGAAATGACAGATGGGCGAAAGAGGTCAGGTTCCCAGGACTCAGAGGTGCAAGCAGGAGGTTAACTGGGGAGAGCTCTCTGGGAGAAAGGGGCGGGGCTGGGCAGAGGGAAGAGCTGGGCTGTGGTGCCTTCCGAACAGGGTCTCACCCTGCAAAGCTGGAGAGCCAGGGGGCGCTTCAGATGTCCCAGGTTAAGGCAGGATGGCGCATGGCCCTGCACTCCCACTGTGGCCGGACCCTGAACGCGGGCTGTGCCGAGGTGGGACGCAGCCCTAGGCAGTCTCCTTTGGCTAAGCGGACTTCCCAGAAAAGGACACAGCTACAAGTGGTCAGAAGGCCACACTCCCAGCAGTGGGGAGAAAGCGCCTCGATCTTGGAGGGGATCTGGGCGGCTCACCCCAGCACCCCAGGGGGCCAGCGGCAGAGGGAAATCATGGAAGGTTCCAACCTCAAGCTGTCACCCCACAGAGGCGGAGGGTCTGGGCCCCTTCCAAGTGATCTGGGGCAGCAGTACAGGTACACCAACCATGCAGGGGCCCAGGGCTGATGGGAAGAGGGCTCACTCTATACACCATGGTCTGAGAAACACAGGGCTCACCCGCCTAGCCCCCCGCTCATGAGCCTCTCCCCCGCTCCCACCCCTGCGGCTCTGCCTGTCTCCCGGCACACACTGCGGTGGGACACCAACCAGCAAGCACCCTTCACCATATTGAGGACTAGTGTGCAGAGGCCTGGAGAGTGGGGAAGTGATTCAGCCCAGGTAGATTCATGAAGGACGAGTCAAGATTTGCCAGCTTGACCCAGTTGTGCTCAGTGGGGAGGAGAGAAGGAAACAGAAACACCCGAGAGAGTTAGGGAAGCCCAGAGGAGCTGGACTTGGGGCTCAGACCTGGCTCACAGCCTAGCACTGCCCTTTAGTTACCCTTGAGACCTGAGAGTTTGTTGGATTATTTATTCCCTGATCAACTCATTCATGCATGGCAAAGCTGCTCGACACCCAACACTCCTGAGCTCTCCTGTCCTCTTCTGTGCGCAGGGGCGAGGTTGTGCCTTTCTGCCGATACTGGCCAGGACAGGAAACTGCCCCACCGGCTTTGGCCCATCGTCAGTGCGCCCCCACGCCGGAGCAGCCAGGGCCTGTACCCTTGCTTCCCTCTGGGGATGAGGCCCGCCGTGTGTTGAGTGGCCGAGGACGCTGTGGTGGGCGCCCGGCCCTGAAATGCAGGAGGAGGGCAGGTGTCAGAGGGCAGAGTGCTGTAGCGTGGGAGACTCAGCCCGGCCCTGTGTGGGACGCTGGGTCCATCACCACCCTGCTCTGGACTTCAGGCTCACTGTTCACTGAGAGAGGGCACATTTTTTGAGCACTTACGTCCACATGGCTGCAGAGCCCACGTCCTCTGCAGCCTTCCACAGAGCCGCTCACTGACACTAATGACACCCTTGAGGCTGTTAGGGGAACTTGCACTCAGGGCTCTGCCCTGTCATGACCCCAGTGCCCCAGGCCTCTTTGTCTCCAGGGTCGGTTTGCTTCCACCTCTCACTTCTCTAGGACCTCTCGGGTCTGGGAAAGTAGTCAGAAGGTCACAGCTCCCTTGAGTAACACCAGTGTAGCTGCAGCAGCTGGTGTGTGCATGCGTGCGTTTTCCTTGGACTACAGAGCACCAGCGCCTCATCCAGACCCTGCATCTTGACTGCACTCCTTTAACCTGATGATCCCCTTTATGTGTTGGAGCAGTTGGATGTGCTGGCCACCTCTCACTTAGTCATGGCTGTTCTGGAAAGGGGCAGGGTGGTGTGGTGCCGAGAGGTCCACACTGGGTATCCAGGGCTGCTTTGCGCATGCCCAGGGCCCACCCCTCTCCTCCCTTTCCCAGTCAGCCTGGAGGAGCTCCAGCCCCTTCCTGCCCCTCGGGCCAGGCCCTAACTCCAGCTGGAGGGCAGGCGGACCAGCTGGAGGCCTTGTCTAGTCCTCAGAGCAGAACAGACTGCTCCCCGGGGAGGGAGCCGGGAGCAGTGTTAGCCAGGCAGCTGCAATGACAAGTTCACCCTGCCTTGGATGAAAGGCCAGGGCTGAAATCTGAAATCCCCTTTTGAGGTTATGTGAGGTTTGCTGTGGGTTCCTCTTCCTCCTTTCTCTTTGGGTAGACAAGTTGCACATCAAGTTCCTAGAAAAGGAGAAAAACACTGTGGTAGCCCAAAGGGCCATAGCTAAAGAGTGACTCACTCCGAGCGGATCCTGCTGACACAGAGCTCCCTCCCTCCATCTCACACTTCCCTTACCCCCTCCTGCCAGGATGAGCCTGGGGGGTCTGGGCTCCCAGGGATCTGTGTGCCGCCCAGCCAACTTGGGAGGTGGTGGCTGGACCAGGGAGTGTTGCCAGGCTTCAGGAGGTCTTGGAGCTGACCATGTGGTTTCCTATGGGAGAGACTCCAGGGTCCTAGGTGGGCAGAGCAGTGCAAGCCAAGTGGACCCTGTGCCCAGCCCTGCAGAGTCTGGGCGCGTTTTCTACCAGTACCACCCTCTCCCCCAACCTCCCTGCCCCATGCGCACAGGGCTGGCAGGTCCTGCTGCAGAGTTGAGTGCAACGCTCAGCCACACTAGCACATGTGCTCTAGGGCCTGTGCTCACCATGGGGCACCTCTCTCCCACCACCTCAGACAGGGTGTCTTTCCCAGGGTGTCCCATTGGTAGCCTCTGCCCACTGTGAGGACGGCATGCTAATCCCAGTTAGCAGTGAATAATCAGTGACTGTTCACCAGGCCCTGGGCTCAGTGTTTTCCCTGAGATTAAATCCTAACACAGTCCTGGGAGTTAGGTGCTAATATTTTCCATTTTATTAGCAGATGAAGAAATTGGGGTTTGGCAAGATATTAAATAACATGCCCAGGACCACACGGCCAGGAAGTAGCATAGCCAGGATTGGAACCCAAGAATCTGACTCGCAGGCCCACCAGACTCTCCCTGAGTGGTGCTCTTCCCAGTATGGCCAGCCTCAGAGAACCCCAGCAGGATGCACAGCCAGCTGTTATGGCTACCTCTGAGCCAGGGGGCAGGTGGGGACATGCGGTGCTTCTGCACTCTGGGGACCTTGCACTTGAGAGGCTGACCTGTTTCACGGGCAGGACCATCAGTGGGCAGTTCAGAGCTGGAGCAGTCCACCTCTTGACGTGCCATGATCCTTGGCCAAGACCCTTTGCCGGCCTCTTCGGGCTCCAGCCACCCCGGGGGCCACCAGCCTGATTTGTGTGGCATATGACCAGGCGGGCCTGTGCGGAGAGGGGAGTCGGCATTTCCACTGGGAATGCAGAGGACAGACTGGCCTTTGTTTTGCACCAAGCCCTATGCCAGCAGAATTTCCCGATAGCTGAAGGGCCCTGGGAGCCTCTTGGACGCAGCTTCTGGGGAATTCCACCCTCAACCCCACATAACCTGCGCCTCTGAGCCCACCCTCCTCTACACCCTTGAGGGGTGGCCCGAGGTCCCTTGTGTGGCTTCCCTTCCTGCCATCCTCCCTGGCTTCTCTGCCAGCCAGCATACAGGGGCTGGACAGTGACCCCTGCTCGTCTGTGGACGGAGAAGCACCCTTCCTCACTGGCCGTCCCCTGCGGGGCAAAGGCACCTTTCCTGGGTCGCTGGTAGGGGGCCTGCCCGCCCCACCTCTGCCCCGCCCCCAGGGTGATGTAAGGTGTCCTCTCTGGGCCACTTCCTTTTGCTCACATTGTGAGCCTCCTAAAAAGGATCAGAGCCCAAAGCTGCTCTCAGCCATAACTCTCCGATGGGGGATTCCATGGTTTTCTAGGTCAGGGCAGAATTTAAAGGACAAGGCACAGAGTGAGTCAGCTCTGATGGAGAGGGAGGGAAAGTCAGGGGCTGGGTACTATCCAGGAACACAGTGGGCGCCCTGGTGGTGTCCGTCCAGGTGGCAGTCCCTGGGGTCAGACAGGCCCAGGGCATACTAGCTGTGTGACCCTAGACACATCCCCTCACTTCTCTGTGCCTTAGTTGCATCACCCGTGAAATCCCTCCTGGCCTGTTATGAGGGTGGATAGAAACAGTCCACACCAGGCACTGAGGCCTGCACTTAAGAGGTGCTCGGTACACGTTAGCTTTTAGGGCTACCAGTGACATGGATTGATAACGACAGATAGCAGTTGGCAAAGGGAGACAACAGTGGCGCCCAAGGGCAGGAATCCAAACTCTGCTGGACCTTTTCCTCTTGTGTAAATGAGGGAATTAAACTAAATCCCTGGCCACTCCCAGTCTAGACATTATATGAGGTCGTTTGGGGACTCTCTGCAAGTTGTTCTAAGCCCTAAGCTGTCCCCCCAAAGACTCAGCTAGGGTGGCAGGTTCAGGGCAGCGTTCCCGAAACACAGGCTCAGAGCAACTCTGATCCCTGCTTGGACAGCTCAGCAGGTGGCAATGAGGGTGATCAACTGGCCAGAGTCAGACCCCAAGCGCCTCCCCCATAGCCATGGGGAAAGCAGGGAGGGCCAGGGGAGCAGGAAGATGTAGGCGTAATTTCTGTGCTCCCCAGACAAGAGGTGAGGGCAGCAGGGGTGCCCGTGGGGACAGACACCAGGATGTGTTCCCTCTCTGCCTCCCGCTCCCAGGACACACCGGATAACCATCACCAACTTCTGCCTCGGGAAGCATCTCGTGAGCGAGGGGGACCTGCTGAAGGACCAGAGGGGGAGCCCCGCCTACATCAGTCCAGATGTGCTCAGCGGTACGTGCAGTGTGAGCTGGCAGCGGGCCCCCGGCCACCACACGGTCAGGCGCCGCAGCAGTTCCTTCATTCAGCAAACCCTGTCTGTGGGCTTCAGCGGTGGCTCAAACCAGCACTGTCCCTCCAGGTCTTACGGAGGATGAAGACAGTAATGGTCCCATTAGTACATGTTTAATTACCTTCTGGGGTTAGTGCTTGGCAGGAAAGATTTCTGTGAGTGTAAATACGGGGCACTTGAAGGACTTCCCTGCAGAAGTGACGTTTGAGCTGGGATAGTACGGGTAAGCGGGGATCACTGGGGTGTGTGACTAGGTGGAGGCGGCACAGCACACTTGAGGAGAGCCGACCGGAGGGCCCTGTGGCTGCTGCTCAGAAAGTGAACTTGGTTCAAGGCCAGAGAGGTGAGTGGGCCCAGGCCACGAAAGGCCTAATGGCCTTACTGAGAAACGTCATCTTGTATTTCAAGTGCAAAAAGAAGCCACTGAACGGACCCTTCACTGAGTGTGGCACGATGAAATTTGCATTCCGAAGACATTTGTTCATTCATTCATTCTGCTTGTATTTACCTACTAAGGGCCTGCCGTGTGCAAGGCTCTGTCCAAGACACTTTGGATATGGCAGTAACAGGCGGACAAACATGGCTGCCTCCATGGAAGGGGAGCTGAGTTTCCAGTGGGGCTGGGACGGGTAATACGCAAAATAAATAAGGCGATCATGTAGTTATTAACTACTGATTATGTTTCTAAGTACCAGGCACTGTGCTGAGCATGACATATATTATCTGTTTAAAAGCACACAGCTGCCTTGTGAGGTAAATATTTGAAGCTCCTTTTTTACAGATGAGAAAACCGAGGCCCAGAGAAATCAATTCTTTTGTCCAAAGTCGTAGCTAATGTGACTTGGCCTTCACCCCCTTTCTCAGGTCCTCTTTCCCCACATGGAAGCAGTCCTGCTCCCCACATTGTTAACAGGGTGAAGTGAGGTGATCAAGTACAAGCCCTGCACACAGGTTCTGACCCCAGACCTGCTGCTTCATTCATCCTGTGCGCCAAGCACAGCCGGGACCTCCACGGGGGCTGTGGGAAGGCGTCGGTCTCGCCCTCGCAGGGTTTGTGCTCTGGGTAACAGCTCTGTGACCTTGCAAAAGTCACTACCCTCTCTGGGCCTCAGTTTTCTAATCTTTAAAGTTGGGCTGATAGTAGGCCCTACTTCATTGGGATTAAATGAGGCCTTAACTTAGTGTCTGGCTTAGTAAACATGAGCTGGCTTCATCCTTACTAGAAGGAAAGCTTGAAGTTTAGTGTTTACTCAGAAGCCAAAATGCAGGGAAGGCTGACAGAGCCCCTGCAAGCGATTACCTGCCGGAGGCAGCCGTCCATCCCTGCCCCGAGGTCGGGGCAGAAGCCCCTGACCCTCCGCATGGGCCGGTGCAGGCTGGCTGCAGCCCCCCTCCCACCTCATCTCGGAGGGACCACCTTCCCACTGCTGCAGGAGAGGTGGTACCTTCTGCGGAGCCGTACAGAGCTGAGCGCAGTGGCCCAGGGACTCTTGGTTACCCTGCTCGGTGGAACGAGGTCTGTGGGGAGAGGTCAGCTGCACGGGCCCCCACGCTGCTCTTTGCCATTGGGGGGTTGGAAAAGGTCAGGTGCCGTGCCGCCTTGGGGAGAGCTGGGCAGACGCTCATCTCTGCACAGCCACCTGTGCACCGGCCAGGGCCAAGTCGCTCCCCACAGCAGCTTCGCGAGATCGGCATCTCCTCGTCCCCATTTAGAGATGAAGTCACAGGCTCGGTGAAGGGGGTCCATGGTGCCTTCTGAAGGCAAAAGCCAAGGCCTGAAACAGCACTTCCAGGCACACTCCTGCCCCCTGAGGCTGCTTGAGCCTCAGTGGGCCCGGTGAGCCCTTACGAACCAGCATCCCCCACCCCAGAGGCATCTTCAGCCACCCAGGAGGCTCTGGGACCAGTTGTCCAGGCGCTGCCTGGTGCCAGCAGTCTCCTGCACACGGTGGAGAGTTGAGTTATGTTCAGAGACCCAGCTGCTGCGGAGCCTGCTGGTGTGCCAGATGGGGTGTGGCCCCAGGGACTGGGCAGCAGGGGCTTTCGGAGGGCTGGTGGCATCCTCGTGCCCTCCGTTTGGAGCAGGCCAGGCAGCGGCTGGCATGTGGGAGGAGCTTAGCTGCCGACGGGTGGACAGTGGATCTCCCTGGAAATAGGAGGAGCAGGGCTTTTCAGACAGCTGTGTGATCCTGGACAAATCACATCCCTGGGCTTCATCTTCCTCTTTGGAAAAACAGAAAACATCTAATTCATAGAATTGTGGTGAGATTTCATGAGATAAAAGTGTTTCTTCCCCAAAACAAACAAAGTGTTTCTGCCAGTGCTAGAACAGAGTTTACTTAACTGGTCAGTCATTCACTTAGCAAGTGAGAGTCCATGCTAGGCAGCCACTGGGCTCAGCAGTGAGCAAAGCGGAATGGCATCTGTGTGTGAGGACTTGCCTTCCAGTGGGGGAGACAGGGAATAGACAGACCGACAAAGACAGAGGTCCTTACAGATGGTGCCAGGTGCCAGGAGGGTATAGTGATGGGGTTGTGGCTGACTTGTCCAGAGGCTGTTAGCTCCACATGTACGTTGTCCACCTGCTCTGTGAGGCGCTCTGCTGGGGGCCGGGGCCAGAGAGCAGGCCTGGTGCCCAGGAGCTCACGATCTGGTGGAGGAAGAGGCAGGAGGCACACCTGAGCGGGGGGTGGGGGAGGGCGGGGGGTGCTCTGCAGAGCAGGGCAGGGACCAGCATGAGTAAAAGCTACCAGGACTGAGCCAGTGTGGCTTCCTCTGGGAGGAAGCGGGGCAGAAGACCGAAATTGAGGGTGGCAGGTGGAGGGGTCCCCAGGGTAGGGTCTCAGGCAGGTAGCTGGCAAGCTGAGGGGGTCCCAGGGCCGTTCTCTCTCCCGACCCTGTGCTAAGTGCATACATCCTTGTCCCGCAGGCCGGCCGTACCGGGGCAAGCCGAGTGACATGTGGGCCCTGGGTGTGGTGCTCTTCACCATGCTCTACGGCCAGTTCCCCTTCTACGACAGCATCCCGCAGGAGCTCTTCCGCAAGATCAAGGCCGCCGAGTACACCATCCCGGAGTGAGTCCTGCCTCCCTGGGGAGGGAGGGGCGGGAGGCCCAGCCATTCAGGCTCAAGGGGCAGGAACCACGCAGTGAGGCTTGGAGTCCTGGGTCTGAGACCCAGCACCAGCCCACCCCACCTGAGCCCTCTCCCTCTCCTCTCCTGCATCAGGGACGGGCGGGTGTCTGAGAGCACCGTGTGTCTCATCCGGAAACTGCTGGTCCTCGACCCCCAGCAGCGCCTGGCCGCCGCCGACGTCCTGGAGGCCCTCAGTGCCATCATCGCATCGTGGTTAGTGGGCTGGCGCAGGGCGGGGTCTGCTCCCCCATAGGCACTGCCCATCCTACCAGGAAAGAAGCCTGAGGGTGGACCTCTTGCTCTGCCAGGCAGGGTCGGATTTCTAGACTTTCCCCGTGGGCAAGATCAGGAAGGACCGGCAGCCCTCAGCATCTAGGCTAGCACCCCCTGCCTGCCCATCAGTGCCAGGGATGGAAGGGCATTATCTCATTGAGTCCCTGTAACAGCCTGCGAAATTGTAGAAGCTGTCCCCCCTTACCAGATGAGAGAACTCTGCTTGGAGAAGCAGAGTTGATCATGTCAGGAAGGGGCCGAGCCGGGGCTCACCCCAGGTCTGGTGGCTCCAGCTAAGGCTTAGAGCAGTGGGGACCTGGCCTCCCTGGGGAGCGGGGGCTGCGGGCTGCCTGGGGCCAATCTGACACGGCTGCCTCCCCTGCAGGCAGTCCCTGTCCTCCCTGAGCGGGCCTTTGCAAGTGGTTCCTGACATCGACGACCAAATGGGCAATGCAGACAGCTCCCAGGAGGTGAGCTGGGAAGGCCAGGCCGGCCGCTACCCGAGTCCTGCGGGGCCAGCCTCCGGGGAGGGCAGGTGGGGCAGGGGCAGAGGCGGCAGCGCCCAGCAGGCAGCAGGGCCTTCTCAGCTTTGTCCCCAGCTCTTGAAGTGGGAAAGGGAGCCTTAGTGCTGGCCCTGCGTTCCCTGGGGCCTGCCTGGGCCTGGCTCAGTTGGCAGTTCTGTGGCCGGAGAGAGGGGAGAGGGCCGTGGGCCGGATGAGGTGGAGGCCCCACAGCGGGAGGCCTCGCAGTGGCCCAGCCTGGGCCCCTCTCAGCTTCCTCTTCCTGCCCAAGTGCTCTGCCACATGTTGGCCCTTTAAACGATCGCATTTCTCTGCCCCTCTGACTCACAGGGTTCTCTTTCAACCTTCCTGCTTTTCATTTTTCAGATGATTCATTCTCTCCCAGTTTTCTCTCCTGTTCCCTGCACTGGAGAAAGTGCTGGGCCCAGGGTGGGAGCAGAGACTGAGACTGAGCTCTAGACTGCAGCTACTAGGTGATCTTAGGGTGCCCCCTGGAGGGCAGAGCTCGGCCAAGCCCTTGGGAGAGACTGTCACTTCCCTTTCTGGCCCTCCCTAGAATTTCACAGCAAGCCCTGGGCAGGTAGGGCCAGGAGGCCCCGGCCTGGGACCACAGCCTGGCCCTTGAGAATGGAGCCCCACGCCCTACACCCCAGCTCCCACTGTCCCAGGACTGCTGAGCAGCTAAAAATAACCCTCACTAGTGCACAGGAATACCCACCCCAGCACATCACATTGAGTCTTGTGTAGCCTTTGTTCTTATCCTCGTTTCACAAAAGGAAACTGAGGTTCAGAGAGGTAAAATAAATTTCCCAAAGTCACACAGCTTGGAAGTAGTGGAGTTGAGCCTTGAACCCAAATCTGATTCCATAGCCCGGCTTTTCCACTCTGCTGATTAACACAGGGACCTACCCTTCAGTTCATTACTGCCTGCCTGGGCCACTCTGGGGGCTTAGCGTGAAGCAAGATAAGAGAATACGGTTGCCCAGGTGCCGAGCACGCCAGCCCCGGGCCTGTCTTTTAACACTGGCCCTGCACTGGGTCTGCCAGGGCCGTCAATAACCTCTGAGAGGACATTACTGCCCCACCTCACAGGCAAGGAAGCTAGGGAGGTAACGTGACAGCTCCCAAGGTCAGTGATGTAGGAAGGGGACGGCCAGCGGAGCGAGGTCCAGGTTGGCTGGAGGGCTTCAGGGACCCAGACGCTCTGCCACCCAGCTAGGTGGGGAGGTCCAAGGGCATGGCACCCTGGAGCCAGTCAGTCTGACACCCCTGCTCTTCTCTTTCCACCTTGGACACTGTCTCACTCTCCATTTGTCTTGTCTCTCTCCCTCTGCCGCGAAGGCGAAGGTGACAGAGGAGTGCTCCCAGTACGAGTTTGAGAACTACATGCGGCAGCAGCTGCTGCTGGCCGAGGAGAAGAGCTCCATACACGAGGCCCGGAGCTGGGTGCCCAAGCGGCAGTTCGGCAGCGCGCCCCTCGTGCGCCGGCTGGGCCACGACGCGCAGCCCATGAACCCCTTGGACGCAGCCATCCTGGCACAGCGCTGCCTGCGGAAATAGCAGCCTCAGGCCGGGGTGCCAGCTCCACCCACCACCTCTTCCCGGCCCGCAGCCAACCCCCGGCTTGGGGCTGGGCCCTGGAGTGCGGAACTCTCTCCCAGGCTGCCACAGGGACAGGCAGGGACAGCCCAGGTCACACATGGGGTCAGCAGAGGTACCACAAAGCTACCTTTTGGAATGATTGCTTGATTGTTTGGTTTTTTTAATCTGAGAAGCCTAGATAACTAATCTGCTTTTAATCATGACGTTTTAATCTACCTCTGTCTCTTTAACCATGCTGTCTCTGGACTGAGTGAGAGGGAGGAGGAGGAGGAGGAGCCCACCCAGCCGCCTGGCCAGGCAGCTGCTCCCCACAGTCCAAATAAGCTGAAGTGCAGCTCGCTGCCGGCTCCCAGAACGAATGCCCACTCCCCGGCCCCTCCCATGGTCAGTTTCCTCCCTCCCCTTCTAACCCCAGGTTCCTCAGTCCAAGCTTTGGGAAACCTTCACCTCATCTTAAGCGGAATTCAAATATATTTATTTTTATACTGAAACCAACTTCCCTCCCATCACCAGGTGGCTCGGCCCATGGCCACTCCCTGCCCCAAGCCTGGCTAGACAGCAGGGAGGCCACAGCCCAGAGATGGGCCCCCTCCTCCCCACACCGAGGCTCAGAAAGCCCCTTCTTGCCAGCCCCTCTCCACCTCCAGCCCACCAGTCCCTCCTTGTTTCTGGTGACGGGCGGGGGGGCCTTTCGCGACTTGGTTCTTTTTCTCATCTCAGTCGCTTCTCTGAGGTGCTGTGTACTCGCATTAACCCCGGTCTCCTCCACCCCTCCCCACGGTACCGAGGTGACGCTGACATAGATGTGAAAGAGGTGCCGGTCGGGCTGGGGAGGGGCGTGCTGGGCTGGCCGCCGACAGGTGGGCTCTGTTTGCACACCCTCTCACTCCCCGCACCCCTCTCTGTGCCAGAGAGCGGTGGGGACATCGCCCCTCCGACCTTTGCCCCCTGATAGATGTGGTGTCTCTCCTAGGGCACCCCGGCCGGAGCCCCTCCTGGGGCTGCGGGGCCTGTGGGAAGACTTGTAGGAGCTGGGGGGCCGTGTCTGGTTTGAGAACAGCCCTGCTGCCCTTTTTGAGCCGAGATTTTGAAGTGGATGCCCGTCTTGCCAGAAATGCTGTTCTCACCAGAACGCCCTCTCCTCCCATGCTCCCTCACTGGACTTGGCCCCACCCAGTGCCAAGCAAAGACCTTCCCTCCCCCCCCCTCGCTCCCCAGTTCCCCTCAGAAAGGCCAAGTGTTCCCCTCCAGGCAGCCCTGGGCCCTTTCGCCCTTCCTGCCTGTCTGAGCTCCCCCGTGGGAAGGTGAGCAAGGTCTGTGTGACCTTGTTTCCCAGTGTGAGCTGCCCCCTCCCCAAAAGCTGACTCACTGTGAGTGACTTTGGGCAAGTTCCCAAACCTCCTTGTGCCTCAGTTTCCCCATCTGGAAAAAATGGGGCCACCTCTTGCCAGCAGTAGCAGGGCCACCCACATCCCTTCCTCCCCACACCCCTTCCCAGCACTTGGGCGCCTCATGCCTCTGCCTCAGTGGGTCCGAGGGAGCCCGCCTGAGCCCAGCACTTACTCCCCCTGAGCACCAAGCTCTGCCTCTGTCAGCTGCCTGGCCACCGAGAGCCAGGGTCTCATGCTATGGGGTTGAGGGATGTCCTCTTTTCTATATTTATTTCAAAAAAAAGTCTCCTAAGGGAGTAGCAGTGCAGTCCGGCCTAGGGCTCCCAGCCCCGGTGACTGTCCTCCTGTGAGGGGCTCAGCTGCGCCCCCTGCCCAGCAGCCTGCCCAGACCCTCCGGGCCTGCTCGCCACACGTGGTCTTTCTCCTCCTGAAAAAAGCAATATCCTCCAGGTCTGCAAAGCCCTATCAGACAGAGGTCCCTTCCAAGGTCAACCCGTGCGTCTGATTACATTTCCAGCAAAGCAAATGAGAGGAGGTTGGGTCTGCCCTCACTGAGTGTCACATGCTGAGAGAAGTCCAATTGTAAAGAAACAAAAAGTCACAAAAAAATTTGTATAAAGACATATTTTTGTACTACATGGGGACTCTTCCTGCATGTCAGCAATAAAACTTCCTGTTCTGGAGCCACCGTGGCCTGTGCGTCTGCTCTTCTTGCCCGCCTCAGCTGCGTCTCCACCAGCCCGGCCCCCTCCCGTCCCAGCCTGGCAGGGCAGGGTTCCTGCGACTCTGGGCTCTCCCGCCAGGTGCACTGGATAGCCCGCCCCCCCCCCCCACAGCTGGGTGGGCAGCCAGCCAGCCACACGCTGTCACTGTCTTGCATGGGGGAGGGGCCAGAACGCCCCAGTAGTCTCCCAGGTGGGCAGGTCCAGCCTCCCCCTAAGTGCCGGGAGAGGGAACTCCCCGCTTGGCTCAGCTCAGCCCAGACCTGTGCAGGAAGGGGGTGTCCCAGAGCAGCTGCTAACTGCTGAGTATTGGTCCTCTAGCCCCTGCCAAGCCCCCAGGTGGTGCGGGGAGAGCTTGGCCAGAGAGAGGGCGTCCCTGTGCCCGCATGCCCATCCGGGGCAGCTGGGGTAATAAGGGCCAGGCCAGGCCCTTTCCTGAATCGTCTGCTCCTTCCCTCCCCTCACGAGGAAGCCAAGGGGCTTCCTTCCTTTCATTCCTTCCTTCCTTTACTTAAATTTAGACTGCAGACCGAGCACTGGAGCAGCGAAGCCGAAGGTAGGCTGGTCCCTCTCCAGACACACCACAGGCCAGGCTGAAGCTTTGTGTCCAGGAACCCCGCGCAGGCCCAGGTCATAAAAGGGGCAGAGGGCCATGCAGGAGGAGCCCTGTCCCAGTCAAGTGTCCACACGGCCAGAGGGGTGGCATCTCTCCAGGATGTGAGAAGGCCCTGGTTCTCTGCAAAGGCTTCAGGGCAGACTCCCAGGCCCCTTGTCCCCACCTTCACCCGACAGCCCCACCCCCACCCCAGCATCCACGTGGCTCCGCATCTTCCTGGCCACTCCCAAATCAATAGGAATTTTGCCAGTTCCATCTCGCCCATACCACATAGGCTGAGCTGTCCTGGAGGCACCACCAGAAGGGGCCCTCACAGCCCGCCCAGCACCGTCAATCTCGGGCTCTTCCGGCTGCCGCCCTGGGCCTGTCTCCATTTTCAGCCACCCCCCTGTCCCCCCACCAGATCAGCCTCTGTCCTGTGCATGGTGCCCCCTAAGCACCTCCCTGTGTCAGGCGTATATTCAGCAACACCCAAGAGAGCAGGCTGCGTGCAGGCAGGGACTGTGTTTGGCATGTAGAGCCAGCCTGGCATGCCGGTCACATGCCACAACTGTTGGTTTATTGAACAGAACTTCTTAGGTCACTTTTTACCAGTTCTTATTGTGAGCCCCCGAAGTAAAAGCAGGGAGAAGGACCAGAAACATGGGTGTGATCAACAGCATCCTATGCTCCTGAGAAGTCAAACAAGAACTGAGAAGTTTCCATCAGTTGTAGCCGCTGCCTGGTCTCCGCTGTGCTCAGGGGGAGCAGTTTCAGAGAGAAGCCAGCCAGGCTGCCCAGCTGCCTGCAGTGGGAAAGGAAGTGAGGGAATGGCGCCTCTCTCCGTGGCTAACTTATTCAGGCCCCTAAGCCAAGTCAGCTGTGATCTGATGTCTCTCCCTCTCTCCACGCCCCATGTCCTGTTGGCCGCTTCCCTCAGCTCCCTGCCACCGCCTGTCTGAGATCTGAGCCCCATTCTCTTAGCTTCCTGGCCTCCTTGTCCCCTGTGACAGACCGGCCACACAGCAGCCAGAATGAGCCTTTAAAAAAAAATTATTTATTTTTAGAGAGACGGGGAGAGAGGGAGAGAGACATCAATGTGTGAGGGAAACATGATCAGTTGCATCTCACACGCCCCCAACTGGGGACCTGGCCCGCAACCCAGGCATGTGCCCCGACTGGGAATCAACTGGCGACCTTTTTGTTCTCAGGCCAGCACTCAATCCACTGAGCCACACCAGCCAGGGCAAGAGTGAGCCCTTTAAAATTGGATTTTTTTTCCCTCTCCTACTTACACCCTTCTGATGGCTTCTGTCTCACACAGGACAACACCCAGAAGCCTGTCTGAGGCTTAGAAAGCTCTACCCCACGCGCGAAACTGGCCTCCTCTCTAACTTCTCAGCCCCTCACCCTTCACCCTGGGGTCACAGCCACACAGGCCTCCATGCTGATTCTGACCAAACCAAGCACAGCTTCCACCACGAGGCCTTTTCATTGGCTACTCTCTCTAGAAATCTCTTCCCCACATATTTGCATGGCTCCCTCCCTCACTTCCCTCTGCTCAAAACTCACCTCCTCGGAAAGGCCTTCCCTGACCCTGTTCACCTGGCATCCTCTAACCCCTTTACCCTGCGTTACTCTTCTTCATTGTGCTTAATCATTAGATCATCTATTTGACTATCGATTACACCTGTCTCCCCAAATACACTGTTCAGCTCCAGAAGGTCAAGAATCTACTCGGTGTCTATGTGGGGGTGGGGAACTTGGGCGCTGGTCATCACAATGCTGCTGGCATTAGAGGGTGGGAGCCAGGGATTCCAGACAACCCCACAAGGAAGGCAGATGCCACATCCTGCATGACATGAGTGAAAACTTGTTTATAATCGCCAGAGCCAAGAATCTAACTCCACTGTATACGTAAACACGAAGGACTTGTGTATACATAATGCAGACTGAATTTTCGGGGAATGCAACTACTGTGTAGAGCAGAGGGATGTGTACTCTGTTTTGGTCAGAATTTTACCAAAAGTTCTTCATTGTTCCAGACACCAACACCTCCACAGTATCTCAAGTGTCAATCTGCATTCATTAACTGTCGCCTTCCCCACAGTTGATCACTTCACAAGTACTTATTTGTTTATAAGACCCACATATATGTATATGTGTGTATGTATTTTATATCAGATGTGGAGGTGGGTATATTAGCCATAAATTTCTTTCAGGAGCATAAAAGGAACAATACAGAGAATTGTGACGCCGCAGCTTTGGGTCTGACAGGGTGGAGAACCATGACCTGTGGAAGACTAGCCGGGAGCATGGGCTCTGAGCTTCAAATTCAGGCCCTGCCCCTTACATCCATGTGACCACAGATATGTTACTTAACTTTGCTGAGCCTCACTTCCTCTTCTCTACAATGGGAGTCACCCTACAAACTACGGGGGTACTGGGAGGACTTGAGGGGCTGAGGCAGCACCACAGCTAGCAGAGTGCCCGAGTGTCTGGCAGCAGGTCTGGCTGCCCCCCGCTGCGAAAGCCCGTGCTTGAGGGGCAGGTGCTGATATAAAGGAAAGTGGTTTATTCACATGCCAGCCACGTGGAAGACGGGGACTCGGGTCACAAAGCCCACCTCCCTGGGAAGATGGGGGACTCACATCTCAAAGCTCATCTCCCCCTCGCAATGGAGGCAGAAGTTTTTATAAGGAGGGAGAGGGGAACAGAGCAAAGAGATCAAGGGAGGGGGTTGCAAAGTTCTCTACGTGCAGACAAACATGGTCCATTCCAATCAGGCCAGTGATGGTCCCACGTGCGTCATCCGGGTTTAGTCATCCTGGATGCACGTCATCCTGGCTTCACATCATCCGGGCTCCACGGTGGAAGGTCAGCAAATCTCCCTGAGCTGGGATGCCTGAAGGCCAAGTTTTGTATCTTCCGAAGTTAGTTCCTAGGATTCTTACACAAACATGCTGTTCATTGACAAGATACATATTAGTTGAAGTCAGTACCTACAGAAACAATGTCAAAAGAATGGTGGGTGGGTTACAATTTCTCACTGTTACACCAGGTACCGCAACAGGACTCAATAGCAATTACTCTTAGTCATTTCGCAAACTCTCACGTTGCCCTCTTCCCAACAGCCATCCCAGGTGCTCAGGAGGCAGAGAACCAGGCCCGCCTTAGGAGTCCTCGAGTGAGTCCCCTTCTTCCCTCCACCCAAGACCGAGGCAGCCTCTTACCCCACAGTGGGGTGAGGTCCCAGGGTCAGGAACAGAACAGCCAGGCACACGGAGCAGCCAGGGCCAGCCCCAGCTTGGCTGCCAGGGGAGGGAGTAGTCGGCTTTGCATTAGACCCTGAATACGCCAGCCCCCCGCACTGGACCAAGAGGCTCTGGATCCCTCAGCCCTCTGACCTCCCATCAAGGCCTGTCTTTCCTGTGTTTCATCTTAACATCACTCTCTGTTCCTCCCAAGGTGACTAATCTCTAGTCTCACACACAGACAAGAGGGTAGAGAGGCCGCCAACAAGGGAACAGGTGGGCAGGTGGCAGGTCAGTCCTAGGCCGGCAGACAGGGAAGAAAATCAGCAGGTGGATAGAGGGGATGGGGGCCAGGCAGGTGACAGATATGCAGAGAGATCCGCGTCAGCCCTCCAGGAAAGCAGGTGGCTGGGCAGACGGGCCGGCAGGCGGGGAGAAGCAGGCAGAAAAGCAGACAGGCAGGTGGCCAGGAGGTCACATGGACTGTGCAGATGGCCACATGGGCCAGAGCCCTGGGCATCTCCCCCAGGGCCTGTAGGAACAGCCCACAGCTTCCTCCAACCCTCCAGGGCAAGGCGGCCACTTCTCCCACCTGGCCTGGCTTGGCCACATGCATTGCTCTGCCGTGTGTCCCTCTCTGAAGGAACCAGCAATGATCTCAACACTGCCTCCGCCCCAGCATGGCCACCACCAACCCAGACATACCTTTGCCTGGAGGTAGTGGCACCCAGGGATGTGCACAGGGATGCACGAAACAGCTCAACGCAAAGATATCCAAAACCTTAGACCCAGAATGCATCTCTTACTCCCCTTGACCTAGCCAGATCTATCTATTTCTAACCCCCATTTCTTCTATGAAACCTGCCCTTAAAGCAATTAGAAAAAAAAATCTTACAGCCCTCCCCCTACCCCCACAGCCAGGCTGGCACACACGGAGACAAACACGTGTATGTGTTATACACAGGCACACATCTCCAACGCCCAGGCTCGGTCCCACAAGCACAGACGAAACACGCACTAATCTTCCCATGGATGGCAGGCATTCAGCATGTTGATACAGCCATGGAAGCCCACCAATATGCCAGCCAGTGATCAGATCCTGGCCTCACCTTCATCCCTCGGCCCAGTTTAACATGGCTGATGGCGTCCTGCTTCTGGCCAGGGCTCCCCGCAACCCCCGCCCCCTGCCACTCATCTCTCTGGCTGACTCCTCCTCCACCACACCCCTCGGGGTTGGAGCGTCCAGTACTCAGGCTTCAGATCCCTTCTCTCCCTGCCCCCTGGGTGATCTCGCCCACTGCCCGGGGTGTTCGATCCACCTTGGGTGCTGAGGACTCACAAATACATTTCCAGCCCAGAATCCTCAGGGCTCCGCCAGCCTGTCTGATTCCTCTGCCTGGACATCTATCTCAGATGAAACTCGAATTGCCCAAAACTTGCTCCCCACCTAAGCGTTCCTTGGGTGTCTGGGTCCAATACCGAGTCGCTGTCCTGTATTCCTCTTCCTCTGTGCCCAGATCCCATGCAGGAGGCCCTGCTGACGCTCCCTTCACTCACCTCCTCTGCCCCTGCCGGCCTGGGCGTTTGTCGGCCTGCTCACAGCTTGGCCTCCATTCTCACCCTGCGTGGCTCATCCCACACCGCGCCCCTCGGGGATCTCTCCAAAGCGCTTCACCGCACCATGACACTCTTCCTGATTAAAACTCCAGGGGCTCCCCCGTGGTGCTAACAGCACCTGAGCTCCCCCACAGGGCCCGCAGCCTCTTCCTGGTCACCCCGTCACCTGCTCATGCCTCTCCGCCCCTGAAGCAGGGACAGGGACCCCAGGACACTCTGCTTCAGGGCCCTGGCCATGCTTCCTGCCCAACACTCCGCCCCACCCAGATGCTGGCATAGCTGCCCCCCTGGGGACCTAGCGCTCACCTCAGAGGGCCCCCTGCAGAGCCGCCCAGGTGTTCGCCATGACGTTCCCTGATTCCATCATCCTCTGACCGCTCAGCAGCAGCCAAGGTTCTCTTCCTCATGCATTGTCTGCCTGTCCCCCTTAGCGTCAGCTCCATCAGGGCAAAGGTTTGTGTCTGTTCTGTTCACTGCTGAACGCCCATTACCAAAAAGTGCTAGGCAGAGTGCTCCGTCGGGCTGTATGGATTTACACACACATATGTCCATCCCCACAAAAATGCTCCAGTAGATACAACACAAAAATAGACACACAAATATACGGATTATGGTCAGACATTGTGCCACATCCTCACAAAGCAGACCAAATAGCCCCAAAGACACCCAGGAGTCTCTTCCCGCCCCCCCAGGGGAGCTAGTCCTAGTCCGTTTCCCATCAAGATCTGCCCTCTGCTTGAACCCAGTCTCAGGACTTGGAGTGGGGGGTCTCTAGCCTGGGCAGAGAGGGGGGTCACTGGCCCACAGGCCTCAGGCAGCGCCTTCAGCTATGTCTGCAATTTCCTCTCCCCCCTTCCTTCCCTCCTCCTCCCTGAGGCTCCCGCCAAGAAAGCCTCCCCCTCACCCCAGCCCCAGCACAGGAAGGGGGGCCCACAAGGCGGGGCTGGGAGCTGTGCAGGAAGACCCAGGCCCACACACTGATCACACTACACGTTGCACGCACAGCCCTGAGCCCGTGTGGAAACGTCTGTGCACAGGCAGCTTTAGACAGAAGGGAAAGGCATTTATGCCGAGGACTCTGGTACAGAACAGAGTCCCTCAGAGGCCCCAGGCTGGGTTCTGCAAGGCTGGCCTGGGTCTGGCTTGAAGCCTGAGTCCAGCATTCATTAACCCTGCTGACCAGCGCTCCACCAGCTGGACTCACTCAGGCCTGGGCCCTGGGAGGAGAGGACGACAGTCCCTTCCCTCAGGTCCTGGGTTGAGGGTCTGGCTGAGCGCGGACGTCTGGCCTGAGGAAAAGCGGGGTGTCTTCCCTGGGTGAAGAAGACCGCTGAGAGGGAGAGCAAGGCGTGGGGACAGGGTTAAGAGCTCAGCCAGGCTCTAGGGTCAGAGAGCAGCAGGTTCAAATCCTGACCTGATCGTTCTGTCAAACTTTTCACTCTTTCCTTGACTCAGTTTATTTATCTGCCAAGTGGGGATAATGACACCGCATTATAGCGTTATTAAAAAGAAGGATTAAATAAAAGAATATGGTAAAGCCTTTAGCCCATTGACGGGCACCTAGGCAGAACTCCATCCTCCTCATTATTATTATTGTTGTTATTCGTAGCCTGGGGGCGGGTCCCTGGAACCCGCCTCCCCTGCGGTTTCCTGTGGGGGGGATAAGACGCCCCGCAGGCCTCGCTCCCCCCTCCTCTCCCTGTTCTCCGCCGGCCCTTTCCCTCCCCGCCTCGCTGCCCCGCCCCGCCCCGTCCCTCCTCTTTCCTCCGAGGAAACTTTCCGCCGGCTGGTCCATCGGCCCGTGTCCGTGTCCGGCCCGCGCTGCCACGGCCTGGAAGCCGAGCCGAGCGGGCGGGGCGGCCGGGCCCGGGTGTGTGCGACCGCTGGAGGCGCTGGGGCCGGTCCGTGGGGAAACGGGGCGCTGACGGTGAGTGAGCCCGGGCCTGCGGGCGGGCGGGTTCCCTGGGGGCGGGCGGGATGGGAGAGGGAGGCGGCCTCCCCTGGCCGGAGCTCGCCCAGAGGGAGCGGAAGACACCCGCGATTCTTCACCATGGGGCTCCCGGGACAGCGAAACCGGACCTCTTTGGGGGACCTCAAGAGGGAGCGGAGCCTCCTGCGCCCACTCGCTGACCCCCAGGCTGGAGGGGCATCCGTGCGCAGGGGCAGGATCCCCAGATGCGGCCCAAGTCTGCAACGAAGTCGGGACGCGCTCTTTCCAGGGTGGACCTGGGGCTGCTCTTCCAGGGAGAGGGGCTGCCCCGAGGAGAAAGCGGGGTCGGAGTCAGCCCGAGGCTGGGGATTAGGATCTGACCATGCTGACCCCACAGGCTGACAGGGGAGCTGTCCCCCCCGAGCAGCATGGATGCCCCCAGAAGAGACATGGAGTTGCTCAGCAACAGCCTGGCGGCCTACGCACACATCCGCGGTGAGGGCGGCCGGGGATGGACCCCTCCCTGTCCCTCTCAGGCCCCACTACACCCCTTCCCTCCTCACCCCTGCTATTATGATCACCACCCCCCGCCCCCGCAGCTAGTCACCTACAACCAATTACCCCCATCCCTCACTGCCCCCCATTGCCCGATGACGGCTACCTAATGTCCTTCAAATAGGAGGTACTGCCCTTGTCCCCCAAACTTAAAACCTGGAGTCTTTTCGAGATGGAATGACTCCCACCCGCCAGGGCCCCTCCATGACTTCTGCCCTCTGACCTCCAGCTAACCCCGAGAGCTTTGGTCTCTACTTCGTGCTGGGCGTCTGCTTTGGCCTGCTGCTAACCCTGTGCCTGGTAGTCATCAGCATCTCCTGCGCGCCCCGCCCGCGGCCCCGGGTCCCCGCGCGGCGCCGGGACCCCCGCAGCACCCTGGAGGCGGAGGACGAAGAGGAGGACGAAGAGGACACGGTGACGCGCCTGGGCCAAGACGACACGCTGCCCGGCCCTGAGCTGTCCACGGAGCCCGATGGGCCCCTGAGCGTTAACGTCTTCACGTCGGCAGAGGAGCTGGAGCGGGCGCAGCGCCTGGAGGAACGGGAGCGGATTTTGCGAGAGATCTGGCGCACGGGGCAGCCGGACCTGCTGGGCACCGGCACGCTGGGACCCGGCCCCACGGCCACGGGCACCCTGGGCCGCATGCACTATTACTGACCGGGCCTCGTTCCCACTGCAGGGCGCTCTAGGTACTGGACGTGCACCCAAGCTCGTAGCAGCCCAGGTGCTAAGTCGGCCCCGCCCCCACAGCTCCCACGGTGCTACTGGGCGTGCATCCCCACACTCTGGGAGGCGCCCTTCCCCAGTCCTGCCCGAAGGCCCTGGGGGGAGGGCAGGACACAGGGTCCCCATCCCCGCTCCAGGGGACAGTTAAGAGGTGAAGTGACCAATGAAAGCTGCATTCTTAGTGACTCAGTCTCCCTCTGTTACCCCCTGCCTCCAGCGTTCCGCAGGCTCCTGTCACGCAGAGGGCCCCTGGGCTACGGCCCCACCAGCCCCCTGTACCAGGCTAACCACCGCCGTCACCCCGTCCTCAGCGCACATGCTTGCGTTCACTTCACAGATGGCGGAAACACTCCAGCACTTCACCAGTCTCCCCCAGAACAAGTATCACTCGAACTTCCTCACAAATGCATTCCTTACCGGCACACGCCTGGACACACGTCACCCGTCCCTGTAAATGTCCGGGGTTCATGCATCACTGCAAACACACACACACACACACACACACACACACACACACACACACACACAGCAGGCCTGGCCAGGCTGACCTTGATGCTAAGGTGCTATTAGCCCCAGTGTCACCATGTGTGCCTGGCTAAGCGGAGGTGAGTTTCATGAGTCCTGAGCGGAGGGGACAGAGGAGCCACCTGGGAGGGGTCCGGGGATTCGAAAGCTGGGCCGCCAGAGGAACTGGCGCACAGCAGGATTCCGGAATCCGGCCGCAGGCCGGGCCTGACCCTGCCTGAGCCTGGGCCCCTCCTGCCCGCTGGCGTCCGAAGGAGACGCCCCCTCCAACACCCCCCCGCCCCATCCGGTGGGTAAAAATAGACGCGCGCAGGCCTTGGGAACGGTAATGAGAGCCACATGTTGGCCAGATGTGCCAGGGAGAGACCTCCGGGAATGCTGAGCGCCAGCCTGGCCCCGCCCTCGCCGCAGAGGCTCCGCCCCCGCACAGACCAGGCAGGCAGGCAGTGCGTACACAGCGAAGTTTACTTTCCTGGGTTTCCCAGAGTCATGTGCAAGGATGTGGGTGGCCGGAGCAGACTCCCCTCCAGGCCCCACTTTGGTCTTTCCCGGGGGTATCCACCCTCAGTGCATCTGCGTCTGCGCATGGCTGGAGCCCGGGGTCCCGGACTCCTGGGTCCTCTGCTTCAGCTGAACCTAGTGAGAAGAAGGCGTCGGGGGAGGGCCACCAACCAGCCCCTCCCAGCCGGGGATTCGCACCGCACCCACCTCCAGCAACCTGCGCTTCTCTCTCTCACTCTTCAGCTCCTCCCAGATGTCCGTCAGCTTTCGTCTGTGGACAAGAGAGCGTGGGGAAGGGGTGGGCAGGGTTTGGTCCGAGCTGCCCCCTTCCCTTCTCTTTCCGACCTCCTCCTTGCCCTCCCCCACTTACTCCAGCTGCGCCCCCAGCAGCTCCAGAGCCCTCCTCAAAGACTCCACCTCGCCCTGTAGCCTCATTATGTCTTCTCTGTCACTTTTGCTGTCCCTGGGATTTTGCGGGACCAGTGAAGGGAGTGTAGGAGTCTCTTGAGGGTCTGGAGTTGGCTTGATAGGATGTGGATCCTTTTGAGCAGGGGCTGCCTCCTCTTTGGATGTGGTCTCATCCTTGGCGGGTGCCTCCCCCAGGGGGATGGCAGCCTCCTCCGGGCGGTGGGCCCCCTCAAGGGCAGACAGGGACCCCGGTTTTGTCTCGGGCTGGAGTGCAGAGCTGTCCCTCTTATCCAGGGGGTGTTCTGTCACACATAGGAGGTCCTCCTCTGCCATGTGGACCTCCCCTTGGGACTCAGCATCACTGGCCACGAGAGGCGTGCCCTTGGGCAGGGCTGCCTCCAGAGAGAAGGGATGGAGCTGAGCTTCGTCCCCAGGGGAGGCCTTTCCAGAGGGCATCCGCTCTGGGGTCAAGGCCTCTTCCAGGGTGGAGGCCTCATCCCCATAGGGGGCCATCTTTGGGCCAGGGGCTTGGTCTTCAGGTAGGACACCGGGAGCAGGGGCTTCATCCACAGAAAAGACCCCGTCTGGGCTCGGGGCCTTGTCCTCTAGAATCAGGGCCTCCTCTGGGGTGGGGGTCTTATCTGGAGTCAGGGTTTCATCTGGGTTAGGGGGCTCCTCTGGAGACAGGGTCTTCTGTGGGGTGGGGGTCTTGCCCAGAGGAGGGGTTTTATTCACAGGAGGGGCCTTTGCCCGGCTTCTCCGTTCTTCCTCCTGTGGCGGTGGGGGAAGGTCTCAGCTGAGGGCTCCCCTGGGCCTGGGGTCCTTTGCCCTCCCACCCCATGGCCCTGGGAAGCAGACTCTGCCCGCTGGCCTCCTGCCCCTCCACACTGTGGGCCTCTCACCCGACTAGTTGCAGACTGTTGCCGGGAAGCCTGGGTCCTGGATCGCTTTCTGCCGGGGTGGCCCGGACCCCCACTGAGGAGGCTGCCACTGGAGCCTACAAGAGCAGACCATCAGGGGCCCAGGCCTCGTGGGATGCCAAGTTTCGCACCGGCTTCGTCCCCCAGCCCTCCTCCCACCGAGGGAGGCGAGCTGCACCTACCAGAGTCTCGGGAGGGGCGCTTCTGTCCATCTCCGCTGGGCGTCCGGACTGGCCTGCAACATGTCCCCCCCAGACCCAGGTGGTACAGGGAGGGGAACGGCGTTTCCTTTGCACCCTCCCCTCCCCCCAACCCCACCTTGCTCCTTACTTGGCTTTGCTGGGCCCAGTGTGGGCTGTCATCAGCTTCTTGACCGTAGGGAGGGCTGTCTTGGGCATCATCTTCTTTGGTTCCTTAATGGGAGCTGGGAGAGAAGAGGGGAGTGCGGCATTTGTTCTCACCCATCCAAGCCGCTGGCCCCTTGCCCTGTGCTGTGCAGAGGGATGGGGGGCAGGAGATGAACCGCATATGCTCTGGTCCTTGGGAGCTCTGGGAAGCTGACCTCCCTCGGGCCGCGCGGGCGCGGGGCACTGTGGGAGCACCCCGAGGAGTGATCAGGGAAGCCTCTGCGGGGGAGGTGGCTCCAAGTCCTACCGGGGCTTTTCTCCATGCTTTCCTGAGACCTGCCCCTGCTGAGCGCTGCGACTGGTTCAGGCTTCATCTCCGCCCTGGACCGTGGCAGCACCTTCCAGTTCACCCTCCCTTAAACTTCTTTGGCTCTGCATCTCATTTACTCTCTCAGAGACCTTGCCCAGCATCACAGGTTTCATTATCACTAATAAGCCAGCGACTCCAACATTTCCATTTCGAGCTCCTTCCTCTTCCCTGGACTCATATCCGACTGTCCTCTCGTTATTTGCACTTGGAGAGCTAACTGGCATCACACACTCAACACATGCCAACATCCCTCTTGCTTCCTAACCTCTCTGCCCTCTGAACCTGCCCGTCTTAGCGCTCCCTACCTCACCCATTCACCCGCTTGCTCATGCGATGAAACCAGGAGTGACCCTTGACCTCTTCTATACCCTTGTGCTGCACACATCCAACCCATCAGTGAATCCTGTCCGCTCTAACTTTAAAACATGTCCTACATCCACCTGTTGTCACCACCTCTGCCACTGTGTGCTCTAGATCAAGTCACCACCATCTTCACCTGGACTGAGGCAGTAGCCTCCAGCCTGGGCTTTGTACTCGCCCTGCACTCTCCCTGCCTATGAACGGAGTGGTCTTCCCCCCCCAGAGCCTGAGGGAACGTGTGTTCTACTGGGGAAGTGGACATAAGCAAAAGAAGTAAAACACGTAGTGTGTCAGAAGAGTTATGATTATTATTGAAGGAGAATGAAGTATAATTTTTTTTATGCTCACCTGTGCACACGTTTATTGATTTTAGAGAAAGAAGAAGGGAGGGAGAGAGAGTGGGGGAGAAACACTGATGTGAGAAAATCAGTAGCCTCTCGTGTGCACCCTGACTGCAGACCGAACCAGCAACCCAGACATGTGCCCTGACCAGGAATCAAACCTGCAACATTTCTGTGCACGGGACAATGCCCCAACTGAGCCACACCAGCCAGAGCAGAATATATATAATTTTCAATTATAGAAAGAGGTCACACTTAGGTGACATCAGAGGGAACACCTGAAAGCAGTCACACACAGTGATATTCATATCCATGGACATACAAACGGCCACTCTGGCATATGCACACAGGCTGAAATTTACGCACACACACATTATCACACAGGTATGCACACAAATCCTCAGACGCCGCACCGTGGTGGGCAAGAACAGGGATCCTCCAACCAGATACCAGGTTTGAGTTCTTGCTCAATGACTTGGCAGCTGTGTGAAAACTTGGGGAGGTGACTAACCTCTCTGTGGCCCAAGGTCCTCATCCATAAAACACGGATAACAACAGTACACATCTTGCAGGGTTGCTGTGAAGTCTGGGGGACTTAATCCACATGAGGAGCTTAGAAGAGTGTTTGGTATATAGACAAAGTTCATTAAAATGTTTCTTAGTTGAACTTATTGGGGTGACATTGGTTAATACAGTTATATAGGTTGCAGGGGTACAGTTCTATAATACATCATCTGTATACTGTACTGAGTGTTCACCACCCCAAGTCAAGTCTTCTTGCTTTAAAATGTTAACTTTCACTTCTGCTTCTGGTAGTCTGACTGATTAGGTGCCCTGCGGGGCTCTCACACCAAACAGGAATTGTATCCTGCTTAGGATACAATTTGGGGGCCTTGTTGGCCTTAAAAGAGGTTAGGGGAGGGCCACAGAAAGGGGAAAACGGGGCCCAGGATGCCAGTGAGGGGGCAGCACCGCTAGGACGCCCGAGCCTGGGACCAGCAGTCAGGGGCAGAAGCCGGCCGTCTCCGGGAGAAGCCTTCCCCGGCTAAGGCGTACAAGACTCCCACAGCCTGAGAGCAAGTCATGAGCTCGCACACAAAGGTCATAAAGCACATGAGGGACAGGCCCCTGAGAGCAGGAGTCAGCAGACACAACACACAGCAGATACTGAAATTGTCAGGTGGAGAAAACAGTGCAGCTCTGTATAAAACATTTGAAGAAATAAAGGATGAGCCTGCAACATAGTGGCCATCAGTAACAAACAGGCAGATGTGAAGGGGGGGAAAAAAAGGAAGAAAGCCAAACTACTAGAAATGAAAATAGCATTCTTGAAACAAAATGCAATGTATAGGTTAAACAGCAGATTAGACATAGCCAAAAAGCTAGAGAGAGAATTAGAAATCTATACTTGTAAGTATAGTGAGACAAGGCATGAACAATTTGAAAGCAATGTTTAAAGGAATGGATAATAGAAGCAGGGCTTGACTATGGCTGAACGAGGTGGTAGACAAATTTGCACCCCACACGGCAACTTTAAAGCTGGACAAAAGTGACAAAGCAACCATTTCAGTACTCTGGAAATGGACCAAAGGTATAAAATACTCTGAAGCATTTGCGCTTGATGGTGTTCTTGCCTACCCACCCACCCCCGCAACGATCCCCCCCTCCATTCTCCACCCCACATTGACTTTCTGAGTGTGGGGCAGGTCCAGGATCAGCAGGTTCACTGTCATGGTTGAAGGGAACGCAATCAGTTTGGGGCGTAACCTTAGGTTGGGTATTGGTTTCATAGATCTAATACCAAAAGCACAAGCAACCAAAGAAAAATTAGATAAATGGCACTTCATCAAAAGTTAAAACTTTTGTACATCTAAAGACACCATCAAAAGAGTAAAAAGGTTGAAATGAGTCAGTCAGAGAAAGACAAATACCATGATTTCATTTATCTGTGGAATCTAAAGAACAAAATAAACTAACAAACAAACAAAAAAAGGTAAAAAGACAATACAAAAAATGGAAAAAAGTGCCCTGGCTAGTGTGGCTCAGTGAATTGAGTGCAAAGCCTGCAAAGTGAAAGGTCGCCAGCTCGATTTCCAGTCAGGGCACGCGCCTGCGTTGCGGCCTGGGTTGTAGCTGGGTCCCCAGTTGGGGGCATGCAAGAGGCAAGTGATTAATGTAGCTCTTCCATATCAGTGTTTCTCTCCCTCTCTTTCTCCTTCCCATACCCTCTCTCTAAAAATAAGTAAATAAAATCTAAATAGAGAGAGAGAGAGAGAGAGAGAGGCAAATCATATATCTGATAAGGGACTTCTACCCAGAATATATGAAGAACTCCTACAGTTCAAACAATAAAAAGACAAATAACCCAATTAAAAAAATGGGCAAAGGACCCAAATAGGTATTTCTCCAAAAGATATACAAATACCTAATAAAGATAATGCCAAACACCATCATCCATCAGAGAAATGCAAAGCAAATTCACAGTGAGATACCACTTCATATCCACTAGGATGATTATAATAAAAAAAGATAGAATGACAATGGTTGGTGTAAATGTGGAGAAATTGGAACCCTCACTCACTGCTAGTGGAAATACAACATGGTGCAATCACTTTGGAAAACAGGCTGGAAGTGCTTTCCAAAGTTAAACATAAAGTTATCATATCACCCAGCAATTCCTTTTCTAGGTATATACCCAAGATAAATGGAACATATCCAAATAAAAACTTGCACATGAAAGTTCATAGCCAAAAGTAGAAAAAACTCAAACATCCATTAACTAATGAATGGATGAAATGTGATGTACTCATTTATACAATGCAATATTACTGGGCAATAAAAAGGAATAAAATATAAAACATACTACAAAATTAATGAGCTTTAAGAATATTATGTGAGGTGAAAGAAACCCATTTTAAAAGACCATATATATTGTATGATAGGATTAGTGGTTGTCTAAGGCTCGTCAGAGGGAGAGAGGAGACTGAAGAAGTAAAGGTTAAAGAGTGCGAGGTTTCTTTTGGAAATGATGAAAATGTTCTAAAATGGTGGCAGTGTTGGGCAACTTTATAAATACACTAGCCACCACTAAGTTGTATATTTTAAGTGAATGAATTGTGTGGAATGTGAATTTTAACTCAACAAAGCTGGGTATTTTTTATTGGGTTTTTTTTTCCCCCCCGAAAAGGGTAGTAAGGCAGATTTAGTCCATGAACCATAATTTGCTAATTCCTGGTCTAAACACCTCACTTAAAAGGCAGAAATTGTCAGACTAAATTAAAAAAAAAAGAAAAAAAAAGCAATATCCAACTATAAGAGATTCAAAAATACAAACAGGTTGACAGTAAAAGGTTGGGAAAAGAACCCTGGCTGGTGTGACTCAGTTGGGTGGCCAGAGTCCGCAAAGTGAAAGGTTGCTGATTCGATTCCCAGTCAAGGCACATATCACAGTTGCAAATTCAGTCACTGGTCTGGTGAGTACAAGGGGCAACTGAATGATCTGTGTTTCTCTCTTACATCAATGTTTCTCTCCCTTTCTCTCTCCCTTCCCCTCTCTCTAAAAATAAATGAATAAATAAAATCTAAAAAAGAAAAAAAGTTTGTAAAAAGATATACCACACAAATATTAACCAGAATAGTAATTATATATTAATATCAGGAAAAAAACTTTAAGAAAAATTACTAGAGACAACGAGGAAGAGGTCATAATAATAAATAGGTAGATATAACAATTGTAAATGTATAGGTATATGTGCCTAACAACAAAGCCATAAAATACATGAAGGAAACATTGATAGAACTGAAAGAAGAAATAACAATTCAGCAATAATATTTGGGAGAGTATTCAGGAGAAAGTTTAAAACTTTCAATTTAGACTGTAAAGTTAAATATAATTATGATTAATATAATCTAAACTCACCAATTTATCACCAAAGAAAAAACTAACAAACTAGAGTAAAAAGAATAAAGTTACTTTCTAGAGATGTTTGTTGAAAAATGATGGCATATAGTTAACACAACTGTATACTTAAAAATGATTAAGGCCCTGGCTGGTGTGGCTCAGGGGATTGAGCGCTGGCCTGTGAACCAAGAGGTCATCGGTTCGATTCCTGGTCAAGGCTCATGCCTGGGTTGTGGGCCATGGGAGAGGATCAATGTTTCTCTACCTCTCTTTCTCCCTCCTTTCCCATCTCTCTAAAAATAAATAAATAAAATATTTAAAAAATGTTTAAAAGTGATTAAGGAGGCAAATCTTATATTTTTTAACCACAATGAAAAAGGTACGATAAGATTTTCTTAAGTACTTGAATATATTAACAACTCTGACAAGACTGAACAAAAAACCAGAGGGAATAAACATTCTTAGAAATGAAAGAAACTATAACTTCAGATACAGATGAGACTTAAAAGATTATAAGAGAAGATTATGAACAACTTTACACAAATATCCTATTCAACAATTGTATCCAGATTTTTGGCCAGCCATTGTTAACTAGGGACCAGGAGATAGAATGTGGTCCGTGCAAGTCTCTTAAGTGCCAGATTTCTTCCCCTCTGAGTTCCGGGGTGAAGCCATTGAAGAGCACTGTAAATGGGTCTTTGTAGATGTAATCAAGTCAAGATGAGGTCACACTGGGTTAGGGTGGACCCTAAAACCAATGACTGGTATCATTTGGAAGAGAGAAATTTGGACACACACACAGGGCAGAAGACCATATAAAGAGGGATGCATCTATACGCCAAGGACTGCTAGCAACAACTACCACAGCTAAGCAGAGACAAGGAAAAGATTCTTCTCCTAGAGCCTTCACAGAAAACATGGCCATGCCAATATCTTGATTTCAAATTTCTAGCCTCCAAAAGTGTGAGATATTAAATTTATGTTGTTTTAATAAAAAGAAAAGAGCCCTGGCTGATGGGACTCAGTGGATTGAGTGACAGCCTGCGAACCAAAGGGTCACCAGTTTGATTCCCAGTCAGGGCACAGGCCTGGGTTGCCGGCCAGGTTCCCAGTAGGGGGTGTGTGAGAGGCAACCACACGCTGATGTTTCTCCCCTTCTCTTTGTCTCTCCCTTCCCTTCTCTAAAGATAAATAAATAAAATCTTTTTTAAAAAAGGAAAAGAAAAAGAAAAGAAAGAAAGAACAGAATTTTGGCTAGACTTGTTTATAACTATTAAAGAAATTTAAATATATTTTTCCCATTACAAAAAAAAAAAAAAAAACAGGCAAGTTTTACCACCTTTCCAGGAAAGATGATTTCCATCATATATAACATCTACCAGATATTTAAGAAACAAAGTACATACTCCTTAACTCATTCATTGGTCCTGTCTAACATTGATAATCAGATGAGGGTGGTAAAAATAAATGCAAAGTTATTAAGAAAAACTGGGAACATATTCCAACAGAAGCATTTCATTTAAAATCAGAAACATGGTAATGATGTTCAGCATCACCACTTCTATTCAATATTATACTGAGATCCTAGCCTCTACAGTAAAAGAAAGAAGGAAGGGAGGGAGGGAGGGAAGGAAGGAAGGAAGGAAGGAAGGAAGGGAGGGAAGGAGGGAGGGAGGGAGAAATTAAAAGGCATAAGGGATGGAAAAGGTAGAACAAAATTAACATTACTCACAGATTACACAGATGACATGACTGTCTTCATAGAAAATTTATTAAGAATCTAGCCCTGGCTGGTGTGACTCAGTGGATTGAGTGGTGGCCTGTGAATCGAAAGGTTGCTGGTTCGATTCCCGGTAAGGGCACATGCCTGGGTTCAGTCAAGAAGCAACCAATTGATGTTTCTCTCTCACAAAGATGTTTCTCTCCACTCTCTCTATCCCTCCCTTCCCCTCTCTCTAAAATCAATAAGCATGTCCTCGAGTGAGGATAAAAAAGTAGATAGATAGATAGATAAATTAAAATAAACAGTTACCACCATGGCTGGCTATAAAGTCAATATACAAAAATCAATGCATTTCTATATTCCTATAATAAACAAAAGGATATCTAACTTTTTCAGAGACACAATAAAAATTCTGAGGTATCTAGGAATAAATCTCATAAAACAGTTGTGTAAAACCCACATGCAGAAAACAATCAATAATGCTGGCACAAGAGACTGTCTATATGAAAAAAGCTGTAATTGGGTCACACTTTAAAATCAATGCTACACAGATAAAGCACTTATAAATAAAAAGCAACACTTTAATATGTATAACCCATAAAGGACTGAGATTCAGAATATATAAAGATCTCCAAGAAATTATTACTAACTAGGGAAATGCAAATTAAGTTCACAATGAGATGGTATTTTGTATCTATTAGATTCACAAAAATAATGAAATCAGATAATACCAAGAGGGTTTGGATAATAAAGATCTCTTATACACAGATGGTGAAGTGTCGAAGTATAAAATCACTTTGGAAAACAATCTGACTTTATCTAGTAAAAGTTTAACATTCATATACCCTATAATTTAGCAGTGCCAATCCTAGAATTATATCCTAGAGAAGTAATTATGCCTACATACCAGAAGACAGGCACATGAATATTCATAGCAGCACTATTTGTAATAGTAAAAACTAGAAACAATAAAGATGTCCAACATCAGGAAGAGACCAGATACATACATAAACTAAGGTGATTCCCTAACACCTCAGGTTATAGCAAGGAATATTATACAGCAAAGAAAAACATATGAACTACATATACACACAACATGGATGAATCTTAGAAACATAATGCTGATTAGAAACAGCAAGTCCTAGAGACTATAAACATATGATAGCATTTTTATAAAGCTCAAAAACAAGCAAAAATAGATTAAGTGATACATTGTTTAGGCACACACCTATGTACATAAACTTAAAAATTCACGAGAACTCATTAAAAATTAAGGACAGTGGTTACCTTTGGTGTGGGGGAAGTAGCAGAATGAGAATGAGGAAGAACATGCACACAAACTCATGGCAATGTTCTACTTCTTGGGTTTGAGTGATAGACCATGGCTTTTCATGTAGTTTTAAAGCACGATATATATATTTTTATATATAATTTATATTTAATTTATTAATGTATATTTAATTTATAATTATAAATTATAATTCATTTATATCTACTTATTATAATTTATATATTATATAACTTATAATATATTTTATAATTTATTTAATATAAATTATTTTAATATAAAATATATTTTATATATATTTACTCATACATATATATGCATATATATTCTTGGCATATGTAAAATATTACATTAAAAGGTAAATTAAAGACCCACATCCCCACAGACACATATACAGAGCTATTCATAGACATACTTAAAAGACACATGAACATACAGTCTCATAGACACATCAATCCATATATTTTCTTACAAAAAAATGAAATGAATATAAACACACTCAGAGCTGCATTCTCAAGAGACAGAGAAACATGAACATATTGACACACACAATACTGACCCACATACATCGCTAACAGACCCTTAGCCCACCAGGACTTAGTTCCTAAGCAGGTGCACCGAACCACTGGGGGGCTGTGGGTGTTCACAGGAAGCTGGACTGCCGGGCCTCCCGGACAACCCCTCACCCCAATCCCGGGCTTCCAGGGCACCCACCTGATTCTCGTGATGCCACTTTTCGTGGGGCCAGCTTCTTGATCTGTGCAAACAAGAAGTATCAAAATCTGAACAGAAGCCCCCACATTTCTAGGTCCATCCTCATTTGGGGGTGACCCTCCAGCTGTGTCCAGGGAGCACCATGACCCCCAACTCCCTCCAGAGTAGCCTGTCCACCCCCTCCCCGACACACCTGAGTGTCTGGCTCCCTACTCACGGGGGGTGGTGGGAGCACAAAGTTGTCTGGGAAAACTCCTCTTCTGCCTTGAGACTCTCCTTCCCACCAGCCCTTATCCTCTGTGGTCTGGGAGAGAAAGATGCTGTGGGGAGGTGAGCCAGGTCCCCAAGCTCCTTCCTCCACAAGCCCCACCCCTTCTCAACAAGCCCTCCCCAACAAGCCCTCCCCTGTACCCTCCCCTGCCTGTGCCTTTCATACCTTCCTGAGTACTTTCACCTCGTCTCCCTTCCGCAGTGCCAACTCATCTGGGGCCTCCGGATGGTAGTCGAACAGGACCCTGTAGGTCTCAGGGTGGGAGACTGAGAGGAGGTCAGTCCTCTGAAGCCAACTCCCCTCCCCAAATCAGTCTGCGGCTCCCTCCTCCATCCTCCTAGCTGGGTGCCCCCCTCCCTGAAGTCAAAGTGGCTTTGGGAAGGGCTATGCGAGGGATCCCTTGGCTGGATGCTCACCTGTCCGCAGGTAGTCTGGAGGACTGTCATAGGTGAGGCTGCTCAGCTAGCGAGGGCAGGGAGAGAGAGGAACAAGCTGAGCCTCCACACCCGCCCCGCCCCAAGCCCCATGAGGAATGCACCACCTCTGTGCCCATTCTACCCAATTTACCTTGTGAGGCCGCTGGGGATCAGGGCTGATTGAAGGCATGTCTGGGTTCTCAAGGCCTGGTGAGGGAAAGGGAGGTTAGGGGGGTTGCTAGTTCACAGCTTAGATCATAGAAGAGGTCAAAGGGGACACAGGGTCAGGATGCGTGAATCACAGGCTCACGCCACGAGGAGGGCCATTGGAGATTGCAGAGTCTGGTCACAGGGTCTCACGGGGTCACAGGGTCCAGGTCTCACTTGGGGGCCCGCTGTCCAGCAACTCCACAAAGTTGGATGGGAAGGCTCCCAGCTGCCCGTTCTTCTTTCCCAGCCACCAGCCGTCCTCAATCTGGGGAGGGGGTTGAACGCAGGGGCATCCCGTTCTGCCTCAAAGGTCTCTCTAGAAACCGTACCCTCTTGGCTCTGCCCCGATTCTGCCCGATGACCACCTCCACCCTTGTTCTCTCAGTTCCCCGTCTCTGCGCCCCTCACCATTCCCAAAGCCCACACCCTCACTTCAGGCATCTCCCCTCACCTGGGGACGTGCTCCATCATCTCCCCACCTCATCCCCTCACCTCCTTTACCACTTCCACTATCTCCCCAGCTTGCAACTTCAGCTCATCTGCCTGCTCCGGGCTGTAGTTGAAGCTCACTTTGCACCATCTCTGGGGGCTCCTAGATTTGGCAGGGCGACCTGGAATGGGACGTGAGCGAGGGCACTTAAGCCAGGCGCCAGTCCGCTGAGCTGGCGAGGTCCCGGCTGAGAGGGTCCGCCTCGGCACCTCCAGGCTCCGCCCCAGGGCGGAGTATTGTGCTCGAGGACCCACAATCACAGACCGGCTGAGCGGCTCCGCCCACAAAGGCGCCAGTCCCTGAGGGCTGGGGGTGGCAGGACGTAGCTGGCTCCACACGACCGCCCACCCTCCGGTCTCTCACCGTGGCTGCGCGGATAGCGCGGTCTCGGCGCCTCTCCCGCGCCGCGCAATGCCTCCGGGATCACCTGGAAATGAGGACCAGGGGAAACGGGCTCTCAGCTCCCCAGGGTGCGGGCTAAGACCCGCCCGTGCCGCCAAGCCCACCCCCGGCCCTGCCTCACCTGCACTAGGCGCTCGGGGAAGAGGCCACAATGGCCCCCCAGCTCACCACGCAACCAGCCCCTTGCAGGTCCCTTGCACACCTGTCGGACCACGTCCCCGAGCGCCAGATTCAGTTCGCCCTCCTTCTGCGCGCGGTATCCTGCCAGGACCAGCACCTCTGCGGGCGGAAGCGCGGCTCAGAAGGGCCCAGCCAGGGCCGCCTGGCCGTGGCGCGGTTCCCCGGTTCCGTGTTGAGGACAGCGGAAGAGTGGGGGCGGGGAGGGGTGTAGGCTTTGACTGCCATTTCCACACGGTTGTGTAGAGGAGCCACCCTAAACCCTCTGCACATACCCATAGCTTCCGCGACGCCCTCCAGAGCCGGGCAGGGAGGATAGTGCAATCCCGCGGGCAGCCGAGTACTGGGCCTGGGTACGTTGGGACGTGCTGCAAGACTGTGAAGCAAAGGAGGCGGAGACCAGAGCGGATAGGATAGGTCCCTCTCCAGGTGCTGAGAGTGGGTGTGGGAGAGGGGGCGGTCCGGCTCAGCAGGTTCTGCCCCCAACCTAGGGGTGAAAACTCCAGGGTCTCCGGGCAGAGCTGAGGTCACAGCTCCCCCACCTGCTCTCGCCGGCCTAGTCACCTAAATTTCCAGTCTAGCTGCCGTCCCTCCTCCCAACCTTGGCCCTCAGGCTCCCACCCGCCTTCCGCAGGAGCCTCCCTGGCCTATCCTCTTCCTGCTAGTAAGCTTTTAGCTGCAGGGAAGAGGTGGAAAGAGGCACATACCAGGGTGGGGCCCCCCTGCAGGCAGGAACCGCTCCAAGTCGGGAGCTGGTGGAAGGGAGTGTTCGCTCCAGTGCGCACAAATCTATTGGTATACTCTGCCTTCCCTGGGAGGCGGTACAACCGTTCTTGGCACCCGTCTACGGATGACGAGTAGGAGCGCAGAGACGCTTCCAGTTGGGTTTCAGAAAACACCTCCGGATTCTCCTGGGGGGCGGGGTCAGGGGGTCGGGAAGAAAGGAACTTTGGCTTTTGATGCTTCTGGCTACAGCCAGCAGAGCTAGAAAGGGCTGAAGGTTAGGGCCCACCTGCTCCCCATCCCATGCGCGCTAGGTTAACTTCCAGGTAATCTTCCTGCTCAGTGGCAAACAAGGCTGAGCCTGTTACCACGCCCCTTGGCCCCTGCCCTACAACCTTGGAAGGCAAAGTCCTTGTTCATGACACTCCATAGTGAAAAAATCTGATTCTCTTGACACGTTCAAGGTACAGGATAAAGTAAAGCCATTGGGAAGGGCATGCAGTCTTAAACCACCAGAGGGACAGCTGAGGCGCCTCCCAGAACCAGTGAGCTTGGGGGCTGGTGAGTATGGGGCTGGGCGAAAGTCTGGGTCCAGCTCCGAGCGGTATTTTATCTTCCAGGCTCCCTGAAGCTGCTATGGCAAATATCTATCATCCCCCCCACCCCCCACACACACTCAGCGTGACAATGATCAGAGTCCATTTACATCTGCCACTTCATTTATTTATTTTTATTTGCAGGAGGAGTTGAAACAAATCTTTAAGGGTATTTTCATTTTTTTCCCCTCAACATGAGTCATTCAAGTAAAACCAACTTAACTATAGAAATGTAGCAAAGTAAGGAAAAAGCACAACAACCCAAGAGGCAAAGGTTGGGGGGGGGGGGAAGAGGTGGGTGCAGTCCGCATATACCATATGCATAAGTGCCATATGATTCGCCTGCTCAGGACCGCCTCCCCAGAAGGCAAGCACAAGGACCCATTTTTAAGAGGATGTTTTCCCCCCAAACATCTGAGAATGTTTCAACTTAAAGCTTAAGGTTAAAAAGAATTTGAAAAGAGAAAAGAAAAAAGAAAAAGAAAAAGAAAACCCCACAAACCACTCAGCCATAACCACCTTCCTTAACCGATCATAGGAGTTTCTTTTCATTTTATAAAAAGATTAATAAAAAATATTGAAAAAATTATTTTCTCATCTTATATTTGTAAAGATAATAGAATTCAGAAGTTTCTTAGAAAACAGACCAGAAACCGCCATCCAGTTTCCACTACTGTTGCTGAGAGGATCAGCAGGACTAGAAAGTTGGGATACTGGAGCTGCTGGTAGAGAATGGGAAGCTCAGCCCAGAAGAAACCAGAAAATATTGGGGAGAGGGGGGCATGTGGGGTGTGGTTAGGAGCAATACCATGTGACACATGGCTGTGCAGAAAAGGGGAACACAAGGTGGTCAGAAAGGCCTTGAACTCCTCCTCGACATACAAAACCGATTTTTACAAAGATCCAAGCAGTTTGGTCCCAAACTGAGGTGAACACTTCAATGTTTATTCACATGCTTTTTTCTTTTAAGAATCAAAATTGCCCAAATTAAATCTAATATTACTACATATACCTAAAAAAAAAAGAAGGGCTTTAAAAACCAGGAAGAGGGAGAAGAGATTGAAAATCATCAAATTAGTCCTCTTAGCTCCGAATGAAATGAAATTAAGAACAAAACTGGTTTCTAATAGGGAACAAACCAAAATCCAAGTATCATTCTCCCCTCCCTACCCCAGCCCCCACCCCATACACCAACAACAAATGAGACACAGCTAAAGCCCGAAGTGTTGTGTTCTGTTCAAGGGCTGGCGTGACCCCAGGCTCCAGGGTCACCAGCCTCTGTCCAATGGGACACTGCACCAGGGATGCTTTCGGCTATCGTAGGATTCTGCGTGGCTGGTGGGTGGGTGGGGATTTTCAGAATCTTCTTGGGGCTCCTCTGTTCAGCTCTTCACCAGCCATCTTCCCAGTGCCTCTCCCCCCTGGGCAGGGGCGCCCGTTAGAGTGGCCCCTACTCAGTGGTGGGCTGTAAATTGTCCTTCTCTTCTCGGTTCTCTGTCCCACTTTCGTCATCTTCAATCTCTCCTTCTTCTCCACTGAACTTGTCGTGGGCCCATTTGGGGCTGGTGCTGGATTTCCGGTACATGAACCTGCCCCGACCCCGGGGAAAGGCCCCTCGGCCCCGGCCCCGGCTCACCCACTTCTCGCTGCCTTCGCCTTCACGGTCATCATGCTGAAAGGAAAGAAAACTGCCATCAACGCCAGAGGGAATGAGCAGCCGGGACCCTCTTCTCCAGACCTACCCAAACATGGCTTTTTCAAACGAAACTACGTCCCAACCCACTTTTTGCTCCTTTTCTGTCCTGTTCCCTACTCCAAAGGTTTTTGAATCCAAGAGAATACTCAGTTGGGCGCCTTAGGAACACTAAGGCAGTAGCTTGGACAGGATGATGATGAGGAGGATGAGGATGATGATGATAATGATAAAATCTTCACTGAGCACTGGAAGACCTATACATGCATTATCTCATTCAATCCTCACATCTACCCTATCATTATCACCCTCCACTATGCAAATGAGGAAACAGGCTTAGGAACTTTAAAGTAACTTCGTATTATTTAGTACACCATCTCTCAAAGGATGGGTTTTAGAAAGCCAATCACACCGAAACATGAAACTGTGTCTGATCTGCATGGTCAGGCAGCTAACAGAAGAAACAACACTCTGAATACACAGCTACCGCTCCAGCTCTTCCCATCCCCGCCTCCAGCCCCCCAGCCAAAAACAAGAACAGTCAGCAAAACCAAGAGTAAGTGACTTGCTCGGTTTCAGACCAGTGAGTGGCCAAGGGAGCACCAGAACCCAGCCTTCCATCTTTTATCTCCCATCTTCAGCTTTGTGCAAGGAGGCAGTGTGGCAAGGGAGAAAACACACAGCCTGCATCTCAGACAGCCCTGCCTGCTCTGATGGTCACATGAGAGAGAAGGAATTCAATGAAAGAATAAAAGAGAAATAATTCTGAAAAGAAGTCACTGCTACCTCATCACCTCCATGGCTTCATAGAGTCCAAACCACCCACTCACACAAGCAGAACTGGGCTGTTGGGGGTTAGGGCCAGGGCCAGGGCCAGCTTAATGTATTGGGTCGGTGATGCTCCTTCAGGTGGCAAATAAGAGCAGGAAAAGGGCTGTGTATGGCTTAGCGCAGTCCCACTCCAGCACCTGTCCTGGACCCAGTCAACATTTCCCTACATACACACTCAAGGAGTCTCAAAGCAGTTCCCAGCAGCCCCAGAAAAGCGAAGGTGGCTTTGCAGAGCCATCTATACAACAGCCTGTTTCCTAGTTGTGCAAATAACTCAGACCCACGCCGGCCTTTCTGGTAGGTGATGGAGACTCAGCTCCAAGTTTACCTTGGTCACAATACTCAAGAGTCACACCTGCTTGGATCTAAGCCTGCTATTTACCTAGCAAAGCCGAGACTCCACTCACTAGCCAGGTAACTCAGCCTAGAAGAGCCCCAACCTGAGAGAGGGAGAGAGGCCCAAAAGCTGCCTGGAACCTGGGAATGACCCAACAGCTTAAATGAGAGAAGCCCCCATTGCATTTCGTCTTGGAGACAGAGAGATCCTGAGCTGTCTTCCCTGTCAGTCTTGCACTGCTGAGTGACAGAGCGGAACTGTGGCTTAAGGGGAGGATTTCCCTGGGTAGAGGCAAGAAGCTGAGGGTGGGCGTGAATGAGCTGTAAACAAGTTCACAAACTAGAACAGGGAGGGCAACCCTTGTTTATCCTAGAATCCATAAATGTCTCAGATGAAAAACCCTTCCGACACCAGGGCTGCCTCTCTAATTAAAGAACACTCATCTTGCTAGCGCTATACTGTCCCACAGGTACACATCCCCTCAGTGCAAGATGCACGCACACACATTTAATCAGTTCTGAACAGACCAACTAAAGCCTTAGTATTAGCAACTCTGCGTGCCGAAGGCCCCCTGGCCCTTCCTGGTTATCCCCAGATACATACCAGGTAATACTTCTTGCTTTTGGGTGTGTACTCGGGGTCCCACTCCTCCTCCCGGCTTCTCTTTTGAAAATCATTGTTGCTGTTGTTGTTGTTGTTACCAGAGTAGCTGCCTCTGCCCCAGCCTCTCCCTCTGGCTCGAAATTGCTGTGGCAACAAACAGGGAAAAGGGAAAAAGAGTCAGCTCAGGAACAGACCAAAACTTTTAACTCCCTACGTTCTGTTCAAACACTGTTCTGGCACCGAACAGACAGCTGTCCTCCAGCCAATATGCTGGTCAGCTGGCTTCTGGCCGTCCCCTTTCTGCGCACCTCAAGTCTATGGCCTAGACAGAGGGCAGCACGGCACAAGGGTCTCCCTATGCACAGCAGGAGCCAAGGTACATTGGGAAGTTCTGAGACCAGAAGCCCTAAGAGGCTTTCTAGCTCAGCGACTCTGATCAGTGAAATAGCTACAAATGGGAAGCCTGGGTAATGGGAACCACAGATTCTGAAGTCTA